ACATGGCACAACAATTATGATGATATGAGGAAGTTGTTAATTGGTAATTTTTCTTACACCCTTTATACGTGTGACTGAATTAGGAAACTTTGTAAAAGGATTGTAATAAGTGCTCAATTCGTAATATTCTGCGATTGTTCTCTACAAATTATAGAACACTAAAGATATCTACAAGGGAAATAACATCAGAGACTATTCAGTTGCCTTATAAATTCAGGCATGCACCTGTTCATTTATTATTTTTTAATTTATTTGAACTAATAACTGGCAAATATGTGATAAAATACCCGAATTACTGACGAAATAATTATTCCATTTTTTATACAAAAACTTTAAAAATAGCCTATTCTCTTTGCAATATCCATAAACCCGTTTGTTAGTTTATGCAATTTGTGTGTATTATACCTACGTAAGTACACAAGCATATATTGTTAATAAACATAATAAAGATCTTATCTGCTCTTATTTACAAAATGCTAGTTATCTACAATAATTTTGAAACAAGCGGGTATTAGCGGCGTTCGCATAAAGTGAACCTTATCTATTTCCATTAGAAAGGATCTAAATCGATTAGATTTAATTTTTTACAAGCGCTTTAAAGACATTTATTTTAATATACCTTTATACTTGGTTATTGATGTAATGTTTGAAACAAAACTCGTTAGCCGGTGATGGTTTAATTTGAATTTCGTTTCCTATTATTTGTAGATACATTATGCGTAGTCCCCGTTTGTACTATCTAGTTTGATGACCTCCGAATGGTATATCCGTTTTATCTTGATGTAATAAATTTACTTTTGGGTCAGTTTCGTATAAAATTAGTCCCGTATGTCCAATATTCCGTTTCTTCATGGGTCTTTGCTTAACGATGACAAGGGTAAAATGCCTGTAATTTGGAAAGGGTGTTTTGACCTACCCCTAGAAATTACCGCAGACCCTTCTTTATTATTGACCGTTGTGTGAGTCAGTTTGGAGCAATCTTCTTTTTTTTTACTTTCACTACTACAATATTATAGCTTTTATGAATAATATTTTAGGCGATAAATTTCGTAGGTTTATTACAGCTCTTTGTGCTCGCTAAATGACTTTCAAGAACCCGCGTTTTATTTAAAGTCGAGTAACAGTAAAACAATGAATTACCCACTTAGTTATTACTGTATAAAAGTGGAGTATTCGAGAACGCCAGCCGAACAAAGGGCGGCTTACCCTCTTGCAATTTAAAATTTTACGAGGGATCCGACAGAGCCAGGCCTGCGATGGAAAAAATATGAATTATCGCGTTACACTTCAGCAACCTTGGTTTTGCCGGGATGGTATGTGAATCGAGTTTCAATTATTTTTACAATGGGCGATTTTCAGCGAAATACTTCTAAAGATAAGGAATGAAAGTTATTAAAATTCTGGCAATTTGCCATTGCGTCGCTAAATGTTTATTTGAAATATCATAGCAGCTAATAAAATCAAGCAATTTATAATTGAATTAAAGCAAATCCAATGGTAATAATAATCATTTAAATTTCACTAGATTTCGAGGAATTTCACGCCGTCGATTCACTCGTTTCTCAATTAAATTTATAAGAAACATATTTCCATAAAATATGAACGCTCGCTGCAGTGAGTTTCTTCTAATTAAACCAATACGAGGAAATATCTTCATCGTTTTGAAGAGGACTGAAGAAAATAAAAAAATGCGACATGCGACCAAGAGGATCGTAAATAAATATCTCGTTCTCAAAGGCATTTCTTATGTAACGTTGAATTTATTAGAGGCTCTTCTTCAAAAATGTAGAAAAATCCGAGTAGCTGAACAAAAAATTATTTATTGTGCGCACTGAATTGAAATACCAATTAAATTCAAATATATCATGTTGAATGAAGTTAATCCTTTGATACTCCAGATGCCGGATTAGAAAATTATAATTTTCATCTTATCTCAGCGAGCAGCTAATAAAAAACATCGTAAATCAACAACACGGTTTTCGATAACTTTATTACTCAATTCTTTCTCTCCCTTTGCGATGAGGGAGAGATAATAATTGATGTTTTATGTAAATTGAGATTATCCGAAACGATTCTTTCGAAGCCATCCTGAGAGACCTAGCATTTAATTAAAACCGTTTTGGATTAGATAATAACGACATACTGGTAGAGTTTAAAATGTCGTGAGACTTACGAGAAATTTATTGATTGTTTTCGAGCAACACGACCTGAGAAAACGATACCATAAATCCTGGTATTCTGATACACCTAGTTATCAGTTTATGGGATCTTGGGAATCTCCGCCGTTTTTTATTTATGGATATTTGTGCATGACTACTGAAGAAGGCTTAGCATGTACTTACATATCATACGTAGACATATTAAAACAAAAAGGAACTGTTGCTATTGCAGTGAAATTGCTTATGTTGTAAACATGTAACACATGCCTACGTAATTAAAAAGCTCAAACAATAATTACCAATGGTCATTAAACGTAACCTCAATTGAGCTGGATGATCAAGTCGCGAGTAAGAACCTAAATATTTACTGATTTACCGAAAGTGATATGCAAAATTGCAAAATCGCATTTCCTCCTACTCTGCACGAATACGATTACAATCATTTTCGTGTTACTCGCGGTCTTGACACCATCCATTGTTCTTTGGGCCCGAGAAATAAACCACATCGAACGAAACGTTGAAGATGGTCGTGATGTTTTTTTAGCAATTCGAAAGCGAAATAAAAATTTCGAAGGAAAAATAAATAACCAGTCCGCATGAAATGTTGATTAAAGTCGAAAAATGCAACAGGAACGAGTCCCAATAAATAAATGTCGGTGGAACAAGTAACTTTTATTTCCTCCGCGCGTATTGATAAATTAGATGATACCGAAAATATCGTTGAACAAGATTCTAAATAACTGTTGGTATATGTAGAAATATTGTAAAAAGTCTTTTTGGAGAAAATTTCTCATCACGTAAGTGCATCGGTATAATGTTTGTATTATTTAAGCAATCAAGAACACCAACAAAGCGTAGGCACGAAACTCTCTGGCGCACCTTAGAGACTCTATTTTGTACAACACCACCTCATTTACTACTGTCTGATATATACCGAAATAGGAAAAATATATTGTAGTCAAGGGAGTGGGTGGTTTCACAACATGCAGACTCCGTAGAGTAACGAACTTCCGAGTCTAGCCTGCCATTCCTGCGGTACATTATAATAAGGAGCAGTTTCAACAAAAGGATTTTGAAGCCTATATTACGACTTTTATCGTCATTGAGACTATTTAAAAAATCTGGTAAACTATCGGGTTCGTATATAGAAGCGCTAACCATAGTGAAGTTAATTTATTGCTCGAGAGCATGATAAACGAGAATACGCAACAAGCTGAGATGAGATTCACGATCTTTGAATAGAAACCGCAAACGATGAAGTATGCGACGACGATTTAAAAGGAATTATCAGATTTGTTCATCATATGAGTTGCGCGTCAAATAACTTTAAATGACGATTATCTATCTTTTCCGGTATTCGGTAGGAGATATCTTCAAATTGGACGCCGAGAGATGGAATTGCGATGGCTTTTTAGACAATTCAAAATGGGTGTATCGCAAATGAAAATTAGCGCAATCAAGTAAAGGTTTTGAATTATTGCGTAATGATCATAGAGAAAAGTGAAATTTCGTATAGTTTTGCTAAAAAGGAAAATTGTGAAAATAATATATTTCTTTTTACAATTTTATTAAATTTGGAAATAAAAATGTTCCCTCACGTTTCAGTAAGGCTATTCCTTATTTCAAATATAACAAATCATCAGTTAAATCGGACACAATACACGACTGCATAAAGTGAACATCATTTGCTACAAGTCATCCAGCATCCAGGGTAGTAATAGGAATGCCACAATGTTAAGAAACCAGTTTAAAATTTATACAAAGCTACTGATCATATTGAGACTGTCTATATTTCAATGTTCGAGCTCTCAACCATATCCAAGAGCGTGCAGTTCATTTTTTACGTGCATTTTAACCTATTTCGAGTTATTCCTCTTTGTCCGTTTTATTGTAGGAATGTCCAATTCATGATTTCGGCGATATACGTATGTATATATCTTATAGACAACATTAATAACTGTGTATTTTATTGATTATACAATATACGATATGTTGTATGTGGTCAGACATATTTCCCCCAACATGGTTTTATCAAAATGCTATTTCCATGACCGTCTATTGTATCCCTTCCTCTTTTAAAAGCTAACCTCTTTTATAGGGATTTATTTGATTAGTTTTTGGATTTATATCCAACTACCCCATCGATTTTTGTTAATCTATGTGATGAAAACTGGTTTATTTGTAGACTGCTGTAATATCAGTTTCATTGTTATTATCTGCATGCTATATTTTCATAGCATGTAACTTTTATTGGAACGATTTTCGGTAGAACTGTATGTGATTGGAATAAAAGGGAATTAGTAAAAAGTAATCTAGTACAAAAAGCCACTAAATAATGATAATGGACCGGATGATTAAATATAATATAATGATGATTAAAATATTAAGGAATATTGCGCATGTCTTAAATTTCAGTTATTTTAAAATTTCGCGGAGGTTTGAGACATTTGAGTAAACAGATATCTTATCTCTAGGTACCTAACAGATAAAAGTTTATTCTTTTGTTTGTAATCTTAGGACCACGGTTTTACAAACCCAAACCGTATAAAGCAACAAAAAGCCCTCTTTGAATAATAACATTGAATGTTATGCTTTATTCTCAGTGTAGACTATTTTTCGTTAACATTTAGGTACATTTTGTACCTGTATACACATACTACATATCCTTTACCTGCATCTACTACTTCATATCTATAAGGTTCTAATTTTCATTTCAACTTAATGTAAAGTGGTTCTTAGTACCTACAAACTTTGAAATTTGGTTTACTAAAGTTAGAGTAGGTACACCCAATGTTTCTTATCAACATTTACCATATCCCAAACGAAATAAATAAATCTCACCATCAACTTTTCCTGTCGCTAGTATGCTAATCGTCTTGATAGCAGGTATTGCCCACGCAGCCAGATGGAAATACTGTGAATTGGCTTCGATAGCTTCATGGCCCCATTTAAGTCCGGCGGCCAAAAACCACGTAAGGGTCAATACCACCCACCATATGCTGGAAGCCATGCTGAAGAAATAGAGCACCATAAAAAGGATGGTACACAATTCGTACTTCGTCCCTTGCGTGATTAGGCTTTCGGTTACGATTCCGCGTTTGCTGGGAAAAGGCTCTCGACAGGCTATCGTATCACCCGCGAGGAAGCCTATAACGTACGCTATGGCGACCATCATGTAGCAAACCGATAGAAAGATGATCGGTCTTTCGGGGTAGCGAAACCGGTCGGTGTCAATTAGGAAAGTGCATACAGTAAACAAGCAGCTTACTGCGCACAATACCGCCCATGTGCCTATCCAGATTCTGGAGAAGTTTCGTTTCTTCTCGAAGAACATCAAGTGGCACGGCGCGCCACAATTCTTCTCCACTTTATCGGCCACCTTGAAAGTGTATTCCAACACTTCAGGCACTTTGAATTGCTCCGGGCAAGCGAATCCGTAATTTTTCCCTTGGTACGGCGACCATTTCTTTGTTACCGGATACTTAGAGACATCATCGTTGTTGGGCGTCGGAGTTACAGTCAACTTATTTTGACCAACGCAAAGTTGATCGGGTTCAGGGAAGTTATCGCAATTGATGTAATCGGGCCACTGGAATCCGAACCTCTGCATAATGCCCTCGCAACCGTTCCTGGCAGAAATACACAGCGGTTTGCAAGGCGGCAACGCGTGATCCAGAATAGTACAGACCGGCACGAACACCGAACACAAGAAAAACTGCAACTCGGGGCTGCAGTTTATTTTAACCAACGGAAAGTACTGGTGGATCTCCATGCCGGCCTCCTCGAGCGTCTGATGACCGAGCATATTCGGCATGATCGTCTCATTGTAGGCTATACCTGTACAAAAAGGTATGCTTATCGGCTGGCATTTCCCGTGCGGGGGAATCTCGTCTTCGGTTTCAATCGTCTCGTGCTGATAGGAGGAACAACCACCGACTAACAACAGTATCAGTAAACACAACATTTTGCTGGGCTCGCGGAACTTTCAGTCGAACAAGAAACGAAAACCACTCATCCTGGCGCAAGCCGCAGTTGCCGCGAAAACGTAAACAAAACGTAACCGGATAATCGACGCACCCTCTGCCGACGATGGGATAGAACTGGCGAAAACGAACCGAACGCAAGCCGGCGTCGAGCAAAGCGAGAATTCGTTCGGTGAATATCGTTTCGAATCGTGCTCGTGTTCTCGTCTACTCGGGGTCGGCGTTCTTCGAAATTACCTCCGATAATACAAACCAGACGCCGAAGAAATGCAGCGTTGTTGGAGTTGGAGCCGCGCCACCCTCATCATATCGGCCATGCGGTCTACATCATTTTTGAGCGGTTTATTTTCGAGCACGCCGCGATGCGATAATTAAGAGCAGGTGTAAATCTTTGATCTTGATTCTCTTTTCTACACATTAGTTTATAATGAAAGTTGAATGACGTTTGATTTCCGAGTTATCAAGGGTTAACTGGAATCGGAATTAGAGGGGATATCTGATGGTAGCCTTTCAATTAAAACTGCGAAAAGAATACAAATTGTTTAAGGGTAATTAGGGCTCATCCTCTAGATCTTGTATACTTTGTAAGCTTGAATAATCAATGGACTATCGAACCCTTGTAACAATATACTCGTCATCGGGAGATAGTAATACTTTCTTGAAGCTGTAAACCATAGGCGCGCCAACAAATAATTAAAAAATACGCATTTTTGAATTTAATAAACGATAATAAATAACTAAAAACTACCTTATAACAATACCCTATAATAAATACCCTTTTATAATGATTTTATACTTTAATGTCTATCCCAGAAGCACGACGACTGTGCACTGTGTTCAGGTCACTTCACCTGGGATTAGAAAAGGGGTGCCTATTATTAAATACCCGGTATACTAAGAGGCACTACTAAAGTAAAATAAACATTACTATTACACAATGGAAGTTAGGATTTTATGAATTTTTTCATCGAGTCACTTTGTGGTGCCTTTAGCATACAAAATACGGATTTGTTATCTGCTGATAGTTGTCCTATATAGCTCCTACCGAGGGAATGGACTGATGGACATGTAGGTTAAAAAAGATGCAGGACTCCTAAGAGAGCACTGCTGTCTGAGGAAGCACCTCTATAACCTCTAGGCTTTGAGGGAAGTCCCCTTTGCAGGGGCTGCAGCATGGCTAATAACGTGCGCATTAGGCTATGCTATGCAGGAAAATCTTTGGAGCCTCTGTTATGGCACCTGGAAAAGTAGAGCTCTAGAGCTGAGAAAAGCTGAGTCCTTTCTTCAAAGGACTCGGCTTCATGGATGCAACAGGAATGGCACAAGGGCCCACCAGAGGCCTCGGTGCCTGAACCTTGGCTTGAGCCTGTCTTGGTCAAGGTTTGCCTGCGCCTTAAGTTTATCTGCTGTTAACATAAAACGAAGCAATAGACGAAGCATAGAATACAATAATAGTTCGGTTAATTCACAAAAAAAAAACTTTAAATTAAACTATATTGCAGAAAATGCATATAAACATTCAATAACATTCTCGTATGTGTGTATACAAAATTAATGTTCAATCTAACCACTTTAAATCGGAAACTAAAGCGATATGATCTGAAGGAAAAACGACGCTGGGTAGTGCAACATTCGCAGTAACTTCTTCGTGACTCGGCAACGGCACGACTTGAGAAACTTCCAAATTGTCTGTTTCGTAGAAAATATAATCTAAACAATCCGAAAATCCACTTGTGTAATTCGTATACTTGGGAGTTCCGCAAGCGCTGGCCAGTTTAAATGGTTGCTTTAATTCGACACCTTCAACCAATTCATCCTTGTCTGCAATATAGAAAATAATTTAAAATCAATTCATTTATATTTTTTATTTTATTATTTAAGATAAATCCCTTTAGTTTTAATTTTAATTTATATTAATAATACCTACACTTACTACTCTCATAATCGATAAAATTTTTAGGAACTTCCCCATTGGTATACAATTTGTAAATTCCACAGCTGGGAACGCTATTGAAATCTCCACAAAAAATTAATGATATCCTTTTCGATGTCTACAAAGTCAATATTAAATAGATTTAATAATATATTTAATAATATGTTCAAAATAACTTACCATTTTCTCTTTTAACGAATTTATAAAATGTTCTAAGTACCTAATAGCAAGACCACCATGTAGTAATCTAATGTGATCGGCGTCTGGATGAAAATACAAATGTGTATTAGCCACAACTAATATTTCGTTACGATTTTTTGACTCTAAAACATTAACTTGCAACGTTGTAGATCTATCCAAAATTCGTTTCGCCAAATTTTCGTTCTTGGATATTTTTTCCCAAATATCAGCGAATATAATATCTGTCGATATTTTTTCTGAAAACACCAATCTTTGTGATAGATCTTCTAATAAACTAAATTTCTCTCTGCTGTAAAATAACGCCAATCCTTCAGCCACTTCGTTTCCTTTGGTGTAGAAATTACTGCCGTAACCCAAATGACCAAGCACCGGTTTCAAATCGTATTTGAATACTTTTTTATCTACTTCTTGAAGGCAAATTATATCGGAATTATAACCTGGAAACATTGAATTAATGCAAGTGCCATTTATATTACCAATTAATAATACCAATAATCTCTTTAAGGATAAGTTGCTTGCGATAGTCAATTTCCAAGGCATAAGGAGGACAATAGGGGTGTAAATGCGTTCTCGTATAATCCGAATCGCAGTATAAATCAGCTAATATATTGTAGGTTACAACTCTTATCCTAGAAAAAAGTATTTTTAATATTAGTATTAATAAATAGATTAGATTTCTTCACCTACTCGTTTTCTTTAGCTCTTTTATTAGTAAACTGATGTCTGACTTCGAAAGGGCATAGTCCGGGATTTGCTTCGACTCTACACACCGATATGCACTCCACAGTGGGCCCTTCAAACGCCTCGTTTTTAGGAGTGCAAGTTAATTTTATATAACTATTTATGTCCTCGTTCGAGGGGCTAAATATGTAATCTTGACCTACAATCGACCAATTCTTCTCATCTTTGGATTTAGACCAGACAAACTGAGACAAATCTTTGTTAGTGTAAACAGATTCAAATTTGGATGGATAAGTTGGAAAACCTGCGAGAATGGATACTGGCAATGAAAGGGTAACAATCCACGGAGAGTTAACGATAATTTTAAACTGCTTGTCCATGATTTTTAACGTAACATCATTTCCAGACTGGAATATGTCTTTACATTGTGCATCTTTACTAACTTCGGCGTCGTTAAGTAAGACAACTACATCTATTTTCGGGGCTACCTTATCAGAGGTCTCTTCCTTTTTTCGTTTTTTGGTTTTCTTCACCATCATTTTCTCGACATTGGTAGCAACTCTACTCGTGAAACTTTCGATACTTTCGGAGAGTCTTCTATTGAAATTGAATTGTCTGTTTATTTTAAGAGCCTCATTGGAGTACTTCAAGGCTAATTCGAACTGATCGCCGCCTTCTAAATGTCGCAAGTAAGCTTTCTCCATATTGAAAATGTACTTGTGAATGTACTTTTTGAAATTGGAAATGCAGGAAATCTTCAGTAATTTCCTACACTTCAAAAACATAACTTTGTAGTCCAACTAAAATTGTGCTTTTGAAATTTAAAAAACTTCTCATTTTTAGGTTAAGTTAAATGTCAGTGTCAAGTCAAGAACGTCAATGTCAACTTTAGTTGTTGAGGGTGTGTTCAGAATTGATATATCAGGTTTTATTTTTTGCTCTACTGACTGACCAAACGAAAAATTCAATAAAAAAATATTAACTGAAACAATAAATAACAAACTGTTTTATTATATTAACCAACATTGTTTAAAAACTAACACGATAAAAAGTGGTTGGATTTCCTATTGATAGGAGTGTACTAAAATTATTATGTAAAAAGAAGAAATTGTTGTTAGTTAATGACATTTGACAAATATTGGAATTCGTTTGTAATTTATCTTTAATTTCCGGTTACATGTTACATTGCAGTAATAAATAGTGGTAATTGTATACATTGCAAATCAACAAGTGAGAAAAGCTACTTAGAAACCCGCAATAATCTATAAATATTTAATTTGTAATGGCTAGTGGCTCAAAAAAACGAATCATGGTAGAAACCAAGAACTTATCCAAAGATCCTCCTCCCGGTATCAGTGCAACACCGGATGAATCAAACAACAGATATTTCCATGTCGTGATGGCAGGCCCATCGGGTTCCCCCTACGAAGGAGGTTTGTTCAAATTAGAATTATTTTTACCGGAAAATTACCCAATGTCACCACCCAGTGTAAGATTCTTGACGAAAATTTACCATCCCAACATCGATAAATTGGGAAGAATATGCTTAGACATTCTCAAAGACCAGTGGTCGCCGGCGTTACAAGTTAGAACAGTACTGTTATCAATTCAAGCTTTATTAAGTAGTCCTAACCCAGATGATCCGCTTGCAAATGATGTTGCTAACATGTGGAAGACACGAGAACAAGAAGCCGTACTAAAAGCGAAAGAATGGACGAGGCTCTTTGCTATGGAATAAGGTCCTTTCAGAATGTACGAGTAGTAATACTGTCACAAGACTGACTGTGATAATATGTTAAAAGATACTTTGTTTACAATGCCATTTTGGATAATTACATAAATAATACAGTCTGTTTTTAATTCCTACTGGGACAATTAGGTACAACAAATCAAAATATTACGGTTTTCTTTTGCGTTAATGTAATGGTTCCATATTTATCAGTATTATTATCAGATATTGCTGATTTATTATGTTAGATAAATAAATTACTATTTCCACGAACAATTAATTTATAACAGTGTGTATTTGGTACACAAATTATTTTATTCCAATATTGTTAAAATGCATGCCTACTTATTTTACAGTGTCATCTGTAAATGTTATCCAGAGATTATTTGTTTATAACAGAATCTTTGTAATAAACGTGACATTACACTACCTTTGATTTCGTCCCATTCTTATCTCTAATATACAGGGTGTATCTAAATAACACCGGAAACTTTGAAGGGGTGATTCGGTGATGAAAATTAAGGTGGGTACATGGTATATTTTTTTAAACCCTTCTCAGAAAAGTTATCCCTTCAAAGATTAAAAAAAAAAAGATTTTTCTTAATTTTCCCTGTATATTAAGCTAAAGACTTGAAACTTGGGAAATATTATTTGTTAATGAAACTACACATTTTGAAATTTTTTAAACCCTGAAGTATGCTAAGAAGGGGTTGAAATAGTCAGCTCCTAAGACATTTTTTTCTTACTACAATCACCCCTTAATTTTTTTCAGTATTATTTAGATACACTCTGTATAAATTCCAAATAAGTTAATCATATTGCTAAATTGATAACGATTTAATCAAATATTTATTATAGAAATTAGAACTGCCTAATTAAAATGAAAATTGAATTAAATTTTAACGTGTATATTTGTTTAGCTTATTTCAGATCCTATTGTAAATAATAAATCTTTATATACAATATATTGTTCAATGTCAAATTGAATTAACAAGAAAAAATGGAATGTGCCTATTAAAAGAGTCATTTTTTCTTTGGTTGAGATTTTGAATAATAAGCATCCAAAAACAACGCTGCGAAAACAACAACGGCTCCAATCCACTGTCTGCCAGAAATTACATTGCCAAAGAATAAAACCGATGCTAGGACAGTAAAAAATTTTCTAGTCGTAGTCACAACGGATACCACCAACGGTCCAAATTCTGATACCTGCAAAACAAATTGAATTAAATAAAACGTAATTAAGGGCGCCACCTTAGGGTATTTGTTGGGAAAACATTGGTTCAGTAATTCTTGCAAGATTTAAATTTGACTTCAATTGATTTGAATCTTTCTTATAATATAGAGACTACAAGCAATGATTCTTATTTTACTTTCTTGTACGTTTGATGTTATGTCAAATGGAATCAAATACGGAACATCTACTAGTTAAACTATTCTCGTCCCATTTATTGTGGAAAAATTTTAGCAATATTCGGAATAGTTCTTGCTTTATTACCCCACAAATTATGAATTATAGGGCGTGCTTTGGCGGCCTTAACTAATAACACTACAACATTGAGCTGTTGCAATTTGGTATAAAGAAACTCACCATTGAATATAGGAACAACTGCCCTACTGCAGACGTCAAACCGAGCAGGAAAAGATTTGTTAAAACGGACGGATATTTAACTGCAAACGCGTAAAAATAAATATATTCGCTGGAAATTAACAAGGTGATTCCTAAAAATAGAGTGCACCAAGCATTTGCAACTACCATCATTTGGATTCCAGTTGGTTTCGACTCTGCTCGTATCCTCTCCTGAAAATTTATTAATATGAAGCAATGTTTATCTGTAATCAGCTTTTTAAATAAAATTTTGAACAATTTATTATTAAACATAACTAATTTGCTTTAAAAATACGCTTGGACACTTTGTGAAATTAAACATTAAATATATTATTGCAACCAACATCGATATAAAATAATCATATCACACCCACAATAATTGTGTTAACTAACAATAAAATATACATTTAATTATTTTTAACGACAGATTTCTAATTAAAATTTGTGATGTCTCTTACCTGTACAGCTCCTGTTAAACCATCCATTATTAGAGATAACACTAAAAGTAGCTCGCCAACTCCAAAACTGGTATCTTGTATCTGATTTGATGCTTTATCCTTTAACATAAAAAGTACTATACCCAATACTATCAAAAATACGAAAACGTATTTTTTCAATGGATAACTTTTTCTTCCCACTAAAACTCCAAGTAACATTACTGGTATAGGCTTAGCGGATTTTCCTACGACTTGGGTTGGATAGGGTACCCACCGTAATGCCATGTTAGAACCAATCATGGCAAGTAAGTAAGTTACGGACATACTGACATAATACAAACTCTTCGTTGAATCTTCACCTTGAGGCCACAAAGTAGCAGCAGTTTTCGCTACTACGTAGTTAACAGCACATTGAACAAATACCAGAACCAATGTATACGTGAACTTTTCATATTCGACGGTTTTAGTACCATCTTCATTTAAAACTTCAGAAGGATACTTGCCCCTGGTTATTTTCTCTTGTAGAATACCGAAGTAAAAATAGGTCAAAAATATACCACCAGCGTACAGGAAGAATCGATTTTTCTGCATATTTTTTCAGTCTTGGTGGAAACTATTAATTTATATTTTAACAGCTATAAGAATTTTACCAGATGGTTGTTTTGTTTTGTCTACGAGTACCAAGTAAACAACATAACCTTAAAAAAGTTCAAATAAAATACTGCCATCACATGTCACTCTCTGATTGGGCCAAATTTATCTTCTTTTTTTTTTCAGAGGCCTAACATATAAAGCTGTTCGGTCAAGTTTGGTATAATTATAATTTTTAGAGATTGATTATTTTGTTATAAAGGCTCAAGGAATATTTTAACTATATGAGTCTACACAAATCAACAGTTTGAGGTTTGAGTCTTCTGTTGCTCCTCATTGTCAATTATGTCAAGTCAATGTCAATGTCAATAAAAATACCTGATTTTGCATGTCAAATTTTTAACAATAATAAACAAAACATTAGTTAGGCTTTAGTTTTAGTAGTTTAGCTTGTTTCAATTTGTTATGTATTTTAAATGATCTAATTGATAAAATGTCATTTCTTAAAGTAAGTACGCTTATAATTAACACGTATTTCTTCTGTTTTGATATTTGATTACCTCGTAGTGACGTTTTATCTAAGGGACTTCCCCTGTTTGTAATTGTTGTCAGAAATTGTTCGTGTTAACTCATCAATTCTTATCTTTTAAGCTTAACTGAGACTTAATTATTTTTTGTACATGCAATTATTCAAATCCAAAATTAAATATTTTGTTTAAAATCGTTAAAATCTAATAGATAAACGTAATTTATCTATTTTAAGGAGTTGTGGAATAGATACATGACTACTAACGCCCAATACATGTCTTCATCAGATGTATCTGATTCCGAATCAGAAGAAACAAGTTGCAATCGAAATGATACAAATACTAGTAAGTAAACAATAAAGGATTTAATAGTATGAAATATTGTTTAACAATGCTTTTTTAATCCAAAATTAGTTAGTGATACGAATGATAATACTCCAGTTACCCAGCCTGTGCCTATAATTCAAGGAGACGAAGAAACTGACGCTGCTGTAAGAATCCCGATTAGTCTTCCATCAGCCCAATCGGTATTAACTTTAGAAAAATTGTACGAAATCGAAAGCGAATTGGATGATCTAGAAATCGTAAGTTTAAACAGACATGTTGAGTTACTTTAACTATGGCATATTTTATGTTATTTAGGTTTCTTTGTTGTTTCTGTTATCCGATGAGGAAGACGTTCATTGGTGCATTCAGCAATTGATGCTAATGGAAAAAGGCGGCAGTAAAAAGATTTTATCGAAATGGGTGACCAATAAATTCGGTAGAGGTGAAAATTGGCAAAACAAAATGGTAGAAGCTTTATGTGTTATTAAAAATTATTACGTGCTGAATGGACTAGGTAAAGATAATAATAGTTTTAGTTACTAAAATTTGACTGAAACATTTTTGGATATTTGCAGGATTTGAAAAACGACATGTAATCGATCACTTTTTACCTAAACACGTTCATTCGATACACATAAACCAATTAAGGAAGTGCTGTTATTTGATATGTGACAATTTAGATTCAAACGATACTAAGAGATTTTTGGAGAATCTGAACGATAGCTTTAAGAGGAGAAGGATCGCATTTGAAGAGATTGAAAGTGGTTTTCTTGAAATTCATTTTTTAAATTGGGAACGGAGGGGAATTTTAGACATGCAAGAAGTTAGGTCTATTTTAAAACTGATGTCAGAAGAGCGTCTTTATAATTTAGTAGATGTGCTATTGGTAATAAGGGATATTTTATTTAATTTTTTTATTGTATAAAATCATCTATTTTCAGAGACCTCTTGAAAATAGTACACCTAGTATGGCGACCATCGAAGATAGAAGTCTTGCAAATTCCTCAATCGAAAATTCCTCTTCTCACAGTAGAGAAATGAGTTTTGAAATTCCAAATAATTCAGAATCCCTGATTCACGCAATGGGAGCTACTGCTTTGAACAGATCAAGAAAACCTTCATCTTGTACCAGTGTTGATAATTATAACATTAGGAGCGAGGGAAATGATAAAAAAATCGTAGAAAATGAAAGTAGCGTAAAGAAAAAATGTTATATTAAAGAAGAAATTGACGATAATGACGTATATCCAGTCGATCCACAAAATCCCGGCGTTGTGCTGATCATAAACCAAGAATTTTTTTACAGAGACATTGATCCTCTGTATAAGGTACTTAAATTTTCACAGATTATTATTTCATTTATGTATAAAATGTAATCCAATTAATTACACGAAAGAGACGAATCATTTAGAACGCTCTAGAATCATTTAGAACTGTCTAGAACTATTTAGACGCTCCAGAATCAATTACGATTGTCTAGAAACATTTAGAACGCTCCAGAATCATTTAGAACTGTCTTACTGTCTAGAATTATCTAAAACTGTCTAGAATCATTTAGAACTGGCTAGATCAATCTAGAACGCTTCAGAATCATTTAGAACTATTAATGTTAATTTAATGTTTTTCAGAACTTGTTGCCACCTGATATACAAGGTAATTTGGCCGAGAGATTAGGCAGTTCCATGGATAAAGATAGATTGGAAGAGGTCTTCAAGAAATTCGGTTTTCGCGTTGAAACCCTCGAAAATCTGACGCATTTAGAATTGATTAAAGAAATCAAGAGAGTCACTAAAAGCATCACAAAAGAATCCAGTTTGATTATTTGTATAATGTCGCACGGTGATAAAGGTAAGCGAATTATTAATGTAGATAAAGATGTCTAAAGCATAATCTATACCAGGTACCGTCTACGGTAGCAATTCGTGCCGCGTTAAAGTTAGCGAAATACAAGAGATAATGGATTGTTATAACAAAAAAAATTTGAAGGGAAAACCAAAAATACTCATTCTACAATCATGCCAAGGACTAGAGTGCCAAATACGTAAGTGATTTTATTCATCACGCCATTTTATCGCTACCCTACCACTATTCATCACGGCTACAATTCATCATTACGACTATTCATCACACCTACTTTAAAAAAATATATAAAACAAAACCAGACATTAGAAATTAGTTTTTATTCGGTTTTTGGATTCTTTCTTGGAACATTTTAATAATCATTTTATGACACATTTCTCTCTACATGGTTGAGATAGAGTGCAGAAGCGAGTGAATACTCGCTTCAAATACTTTCATGTTTTTAGTATAGTTGTAGCTTTGCTAGAATGCACAACGCAGTTAAAATATTTTCAACTTTTTGGCACTTCCAGCTATATTCCAGACAATATTTTAGTATTCACTTTTGTTTCAACCATGTATAAATAAATGTGTGATGAAATAGTTATTAGAATTAAAATGTTTAAGAAAGAATAAAAAAAAAGAAACGAATAAAAACATGTGTGATGAATGGTCGCTGTGATGAGTAGTCGGGTGATGGAACGTCGGGATACGTTTTATTGATAATTGTAGTGGAAACTGAGGAAGATTTAGACGAGGATCGGGTAAACATAACGACAGACGGACCATCTTCAGGTTATCGAGACATGTACATTTTTTGGTCGACTATCAAAGGTTACGCTTCAATTCGAAACAAAAAAACCGGATCCTGGTTTATCCAAGCGTTCTGCGAAGAACTGGATAATTATGGCGACAGGTAATACTACAGATTATTATTACACAATTAGTCCAAGAGATAACACTATGATGGTAGATTTACTTCGAAGTTACTGTACTGATAGTCCATATTTATAAAAATGAAGCCATTCACTTTGAATTAAAAGGTAGACGCAAAAGGTAAGAGAAAAAGGTTTTGCTCTGATCCATATTCGTAATCTTCGCCTTTTTCCTTGCAAAGGAAACGCTTTGGATAAATAAAGTAAATGATACAGATATTAACGATTTCGTCAAACTAGTCGAAACGAGTCTAATGGTTCTAAACAGCTCTAAATGATTCTGGAGCGTTCTAGAGATTGACCTAGCCAGTTCTATATGATTTAGACAGTTTTTAATTATTCTGGAGCGTTCTGGATTGATCTAGGCAGTTCTAGATGATTCTGGAGGGTTCTAAATTTAATGGTTCTCGAAATAATGTTCCTAGGGCATTCCAGATTGTTCTAGACTCTTACTAGGAACCTAGATTCCATTTTTACAAGCAAATCCTTGACTTTTTAAGCAAATGCTTCTTTTAAATACGGAAAACATAAAACCTTTTGCTTTAAAACAACAGCAAGGTCCTCGAAGCAAAACCTCTTCATTTCTTTATAACCTTGAAGCGATTCCTTCATTTTTTGAAAGCAAAAGGTTAAACTTCTTTTTATAAATACGGCCTATTATGTGTGTGTGTGTGTGTATCTAAATAGGCTGAGACACCTGGGTAAAATAGATTGATAAAATTTTCCTTGATTTGCAGTGAACACTTCCAGGACATTTGCACCAAAGTTAAGAAAAGAGTTACAGGACAAACGTGGAAGAAAAATGACATGATGAAAATCGGTATGACACCGATTGATCATTCTACGTTAGTGCATAAATTTTATTTTCCTAAACGGGTGCACTGAATAACTTTAAATTATTCAATTCGAAAAGTTTTAAAAGATCGCCGTGTATTTTATACCGTGTAGGTATATTTTAAACTTTTTTACTACTCAGTTTAGAGTTTATTGTTTTAAAATTTTATGTTTTATAATTTATTGATAATAATATATTTAAAAATTTACATGCATTCATAATAGTATAATTTATTTTTCAATTTGTAATTCTTTAAGTTTAAGATTGATTGATATTTTCAAATAACACTCTATGGGAAGTACTACAAATTCAATGAAAAAACCAAACTCATAATGAGCAAACTTTATTTTTTGTGCTATATATATAATAAAAAAATATTTCAACAAAATATTAATGAATTCATAATTCATTTCTAAACTTTGGTTCAGAGATTTTTTTTCTTTTTTAGAGATCTTAAGATCTTAAACACTCTATGTGGTAATAGAAAAAATACATTGCAATAAATTAAACAAATTCGAGATAATTTTCGATATAACCTTATAGTTTAGACTCTATTTTTATGGAGTATTTTTTCTTCCACCAAATACTATATCGCAACGAAGATTTGATTTTCTATCAGAGGTATTTGTCATAACGTTATTTGTTTTAATAATTAATAAAAAACAGATTGTGCCTTATTAATTTAAACAAAAATGCTTACTGTGGAATGTAACAACAATAATTATGCGGATGGAAAACGTTTTTCTCACAATCTGTTAATATTTAGAAAGACTTTACGACAAATTTTACTTAGCAATTTTTGATTTTTTTTCTAAACAATTATACTTGTTTACTTTGGTTTTGAAGAATCGAAAAATTCTAAGTTTATTTTTTTAATTTTCATCCTATAACATTTATCACCACAAAGTTAAAATGTCAATCACAGAGGCATATGCAAGTTAACGTCGTGGTATAAAAGTTACAAAATATTTTTTTTCAAAAAATTACTCCTTTACAATGTAATTCAGCAACTGAACTTTTTCCAATGACGTTCAGAACTCTTGGTCTTAACTGAGCAATGATTTTCTTTCATAATACGCTAAACACATCACCGTAGCCTTTAGAAATTAAAAATTGGCAGGATAATTCCAGATTGTCGTAACTTCACAAATTAATGATGTACTGGCGAAGTACAGAAGTTACACTTCTGCACGTTTTTAACGCGATTTTATTTAAATTCTCCATTCATACTCATTTACATAGACACCTAGAAATATCTCATCTCGCATTCGTGTTCAACCTGAAGGACACTTCATCGTTTTATACATAAATTTAACCTGTCGCGAGTTAAATATTGCTTTGCTTTGGACCCCTCAAAATTCAACATTTCGCAATATCTTCTGGATTTCTTAATCCGCAAAACTCGGAGTAAATTTTTGAAAAATAGTACAAACAGATTCGCGTACTCAAACATCTATTGCTCGAAAAAAATCGCTTGTTTACTTATTGTCTTAAAGCTTGAATATATTAAAAACGAGTCGAAATTCTAAGCACCTTATAGACAATAAACGTAAACTCGTACGAGAATCCTCATCGTCTAACGGTTATGTCGGTTTGGCTGTCGTCCTCGCTCTCCGTTAACGCCGTTAACTGGGTATCGGGCAATATCGTCAAATGGGTCGCGTCCGATTGCAACGTACTACACTCCCCTTGACTATCACTATTTTTCTTTTGAAGTTGCTGCACGAAATTCTAAAACAACATATTATCCATTAACCGGTGCTTTAAAGTTTAATGCAAACAAATTTAGGTCAATTAACATTCGCAATGGAAAGGGCTTTCAAAGATGTATTGGAAGTAGGGTACAGTTGGTGCAAAACAAATTTCAATGTACGTCACTACTGTCGTCATAATTGACAAGCATTGTGTCTAACTTTTATAAATAAATACACAAAATAGATTAAGTTTAATACCTGCAGAATTTAATTTAATATTAACAAGGGATGATAGAAAATATTAAAAAGCAGAATTAAATCGTCCAAAAAATATATATTGTCAAATTTCACACAATAACACCCCTGTGTTGTTTCAACGCCTGTCAACTATCAAGTGACTCGAGTTGCCTACCTATCAGGTCTGACAGCACACATGTGTTTTGCACCAACTGTAGTTTTATTTGAAATTCTAAAAGTAGAGTTGCTAGGGCTTAGGGGAACGAACATAACAAGCAGGGGCGACTGTTAAAAATGGTCCCAACAAAAACAAAAATTGACTGTACACCTTGTATTAAAATTAGGCAACTTTTGAGAAAAATAGTGAATCTTCCAATACCTTTTTCCTTTTTCTTTCAAGGCACATTTAATTCGATTATTATTTTTGACAAAACATACCTGACTTATCACATCACCATGAGCGGTTCGGACTTGATAAAGGTACCTGTACTTCTTCTGCTTCATTTCGGCCCTTTCGGCCCGCGTCAAGACCCTCGGCACAGCTCTTGACTTTTTCCTACCGGCTTGCACTAAACAGATTAATACGTTACAACAAATTAATAAAAATGTTCGCTTACGAATCTATTACCGTCTTCGTGGTGAATACCTCTACCGGTAATGCCGAATTGTATTATCAATCCGGCCAGCACGAACGACGGCCAAGCGCCCAGGATTATCCAGGAAAACCAGCACGGCGGCGGCTCCACGGGCTTCAGCGACGCCCTTCCCCACAGCCAAGACACCATCGATAATTTCTCCACGAAGTAATCGATAGCTAGAGATAGAGTCGCTCCTCCGTACAGACTTGAGCCAAGTATTGTGAGACCTAGAAAAAGCGCAATGACTCTTTCATCGAGATTGCAGTAATTAAAAAAAAACCCTTACTTTTTCTAAAATACAAATTGAAAATGGCAACGGTCAATGCGGAGAACAGGAGCACTCCGACGCACAACCACACGGATCCTTTCGGAGACGTCTCTACGAAATGATCGGCCGTGAATAGTCCTGCGAGAGCCAGCAGGATGCCGGTGTGCAAGCCGCTCATAAACAATCCGACGTATTGGACCAGCATAGTTATTAAACCGAACAGGACGCCGGCCAGCAAGGAGACGCCTAAAATTAAACGCAATTAGGCTAATCAATCTGCCTATAAGTGTATTACAGACGTGCAGAAGATATTATTTTCTAATTTTACTTTTAAGAATGTCGTAAAAAGAAAAAGGCACGTACGTTAAATTGTGATATTTTGTTTATGTAAAAATAGATTGAGTGGTGTTGTGGTGTGCCAGTAACTTATAATAGTTGCTAAAAATCTATTAACTCTACACTCACGATGAAATCGAGATATTATTTACATAATACTAAGAGGATAATCCTGATACAGTAAATAGACGTATTTTATTTATCATACTGGAAACTTTAGTAATTACCTAATCTATTTAGACTAAGCAAGTACTAAAATCCAAGTATAGTTTTTAGCAATGCGAATCACTTTTTAATGGTTTCGTTTTTATATTTGAACACAATTTGAAAAATATTTAAACGGTAATTTGTTTATTACAAGCCCGGTCGTATTTTTTATTTCAATTGGACAGGCACCTTCGGCGAAAATTTAGCTGTAGTAATTGCAATTTTGTTCCGATATATTTATTTAACGTCTAAATTAAGATAAAGTGCTTTCGTGACCCTATTCTCGACCTTTCGGAATGGATGTTACAACAGTTATAATGTGTGGATGTAGTTTAACATATCAAAGAGATGCATGCATTTAACAACGAGCGATTGGAAAATTGCCTTGATTTAGGCGTTTTAGGTCGCTTTATCTTTATAAAACCTTTGCAAAACGTAGAGGCATTTAAATTCTATTAAAAAATAATGTTGTGCGAGATAAATAAAATACTTCTTAAGTGTAGTTTTTACAAAAAGATTATTATATTCATAAAAATTATATGTGTACCTTCATTTCCATAGGTTGGCATAAGATCACCTTGCTGGCATATTAGGTAAACAATACTAGACGCAAAAATGAATCCTGTTAAAAACATCACTATCTTGAAGCATCGATAACCTGAAAAAAACAGAACGACTAGTTATCAATCTTTTTTTTAATTAACTATAATTTGCTTCAAAAATTAAAAGACAAAGGCCCGTATACAGCGCCTTTCGTTTACCATTAAACACGTATTTAGAGTCTCTTTAACGTAAACAATGTCCATAATTACTCCATAACAACAATGTATAAAAATAACAAGTTAAGGACGCGCCTTTAACTTTTAAAAAGCAGCGCTGAAGCCAGGCCAAAGTTTGAATCAATCAAATTTAGAATCCCTTCACATGCATCTAAGATTGTGCATGATTAAAAATACAATTTCCACCTACCTACGAACGTATAAAGAATCCCAAAGATGATGTAAACGGAGAAAACGATGGTGAACTTGACGTCGTAATGGGTATTGAAGTGCGTGCATGTTTCGACATGTGGACCATCGGGTATCGACGGGCCCAAACCTGGAAATGCCGTTCCATTCACTCTGGGAGGTACCAGGGAGCCTGGCCGGGCCCCGCTAGCCATCCTCTGTTATCTGCAAACGAAATTTTTAAATTGGCAATTAAATTAACCAATCCTCCTTTTACGACATATTCGTGTATTAGATTTACGGTTGAATTAATACTTTAAAAAACTTCAATTTGGTATATACAGGTTGTTATATCATAATAAGAGCTTGTTTCAATTGATTCTGATTCCGAGTTGTTTTTAGCAAAGTTTTAGTTGATTGTTTATTTTATCTAATATTTTATTCACCTGTAGTAGTCGATTTATATTTATACAAATACTAATGCAACGACCGACGAGTAGGTAAAGAGTTATTTATAAAAATAACAATGTACAGTTCGCCTACACACGACGCACCGAAAATAATTGTTAAACAATATGCACGTAGGAGCCGCATGTTCTAACTCTTAAGCAAACGACCGAATCTGAAACAATTTTTTGGTCAATTATTCCGCATTAGCCTTTCAAATTGTTATACACATACAATGGAATATTTTTTTAAACCGATACGGCGACGTTTTCCTACAATGCGTTTCACAATTTCCTTCCAGTTGACACAAGGTAAGGCGTTTCGATATGATTTGCTTGATAAAATCCAAGTACAAATAATGTAAGGTATTTTATAGATAAATTATTGAAATTTGTAACAAAATTAGATTTGTAAGAAGGTTAGACTAAGGTATAATTATTTAATTAAGTTTTCTAGTCCGATGATTTTCATGGGTTTTAAGTGTTTTTTGATGGATATTTAATGTTTGTGTGATTTATTTTAATACTGTTATAAAACGTTTTTAGTTCATTTACACGTCTTTTTACAAGTCTATGTATAATACAAGACATTTTGTTTTAGAATGAAGTTTACAAGATTTCAAATGGAGTAGTATTAAAATTTGTAAATTAAATATTTGTGTTCAATTAGAATATGAGTTTATAATAATTTTTCAACAATTTATGATTTTTTGACAAAGGTAGCTTTCAATAAATCAAATAGAATTAGGACAAATCGCAGAAAATCTTTCAAAAAGCCATTTCAAATCGCTGAAAAGAATCCAATCACTTCAGAAAAATCATTTAGAAATTACCGAAATTCCAACCTGGCAATGTTGTTGGGTACAATTATACAAAAAATAAATTAGTACTACCCATTATAGGACATTCCGATGCATTCCATAATACCTACAATGGTAAAATCAATTCACCTAATTACCTCGAAAACAATAGATACTCCGAAACAATCAAAAAAACCTGGTAACCTCGAGCATTCCAAACCATTTTCCTAGGGTGAACATCCTAAGGATATCGTTGCACGTACACGCTCGATAAAGGTTCTTTGTCCTCTATAAAAACCATCTCATTGTATAATAATTGTTGCGTTTCCGGTATTACAACATTTCAGTTCATGTTCCAATGTCTCGATATCTGCCTAGTAGTTCACGGTTTTTCAAGTACCGCTGTATACGGAGAAAGAAGTCGTTATTCCGCGCGGTAATTGGAATCAGGTATCAAGTTCAACCGGGTACTTACTGCACGGCGAAAATTGTTTACAGCTTAGGTAAGTACGACGCGCGGCCACGCAAAAACCCGCACTAATGTCCAACATGAAGAAAAAGTAATGGGAAATATAATTACTTATTCACAAGAAAATTATTAGGTACAAGTTATTATTATAGGAGGGTGAAATATTAATAATAAAACGGTTACTAATACATAAAAAACTAGAAGAAGAAAAATAATTGTAAATTAAGAAAATATTAATATTGGTACCTACTGGTGCTATTATTTTAATATTATTTTTTCATATTTCAGATTCAAAGCTTTCGTATAATTTTAAGGAGATTTTTCGAGCGTTTTCAGGATTTTAGGAGATTTATTTCATGAATTTAATCAACAAACTTCTCTTATAAGTAAGCTTTCCAGCACCAAATTATCCCTTTGTAACAATTCGCTTTCCATAATTCCCCCCTAAGATTCGCTGTATGCGGCATTAATAAAGCAGAGCCGGGTTCATATGAAGTATCATCCTAAAAAACGAAAATGTTTTTCATCGTTGAAGTCCTCATTTAGGAAGCAGTTATGGCTGAAGGCCAAAAATGTTTCCTTCATATTTAAGCTGCGAAGAAAAAGCCTTTTACACAGACCGCATTCTCCGAGAATTCACCGTTTGCCAAATTATAAAATAAACCGACTCATCTCATCGATGGAACGATTCGATACATCAAAAACAGATCGTAAGATAATAAGGCGGTTTTTTAATAATGCATTAGTTCCATTTGCTGCTTACTAAATAGTTAATTACATTGTTTTTTGTATAAGGAAATTATTATCTGCCCAAGTTATGCCCCAATACATGGTGATATTGAGTGTACAAACTACATAATATGGCGTAAATTAGTAAATGTGTGAGTGTACATATACAGGGTGTCTCTAATAAGAACCGGCGTGTAGCAGAGCCTAAAATATGTTGTTTGACCCAACTTTAATCCCTGATGAACCAATTTTAATGAAAAATGCAAATGAATCAATATTATTGCTAATATGGCTCATGTCGCATGTTTCTCATATTGACAAAATACACAGGTAAGTATAATAGATATAGATAAATAATTAAATTACATTTTCAACGTTACTGCGTAGAATTAAGTCATAAAAACATTAATTATTAACCCCTTCTGGGAGACGCTGAAACATTGACGACTAAAAGACGCCAGTTGAATTACGAGCGAGGAGGCGTCGCGACGCTCGTCACCTTAAATAATTTACACAGAAGCCGACCGATTTATGCGATGAAATTCCCTTTCTGAATTCGCGATATCTTACGATCGCCCGACTTAATCCTTTCGGGGACGGCCCGGAGTCGCATCGCAGTCTTTTCACGTCGACTTATCTCCGGGAGAGTAATGTAAAAGTTCTGTAAGCCAATTAGCCGTTCGAATACGAATTTATAACTATCCGATAGTAATTTGTGTAAGCGCATCGTTACGACATATCCCGATTTAATCGTTTTAATTAACTGTTACCTATATTGCGTGATCACCTCGTATGTGTATTCGTTATAGGTGTGCCGGAGAGGCATCTATCATCGCGTTATTACCGGGAACTTTTAGCGCATAGGCGTCCTAGATATAGCGTTTCATTTGTGTATTTAAATTATGTAGATACGAACATCTAAATTTATAATGGGTCTACATGGGCGACAATGTAGAGCGAAAGTTAATAAAAAGTTAGATATAAATTTTAATTTTTTTACTGCATCTACACTGGTAAAATATTCACATCTGTTTATTTCATGGTATTGATTATTTTAATAATAATAATTTTATTGCGAATTCTAAATTTAAGTCTTGCTAAAGAATTAATATTTTTATAAATTTTACCTTACCTTGTTTGTTTCTAAAATATTGTTGATTTATTATGATTTGAATGTCATAGTTTGACGTTTTAGTTCAAATAATAATTTTGACACTTTAGTGACAGCTCCGGCACACTAATAAAATTGTACTAATTAAAAACTTAAAGGAAAATAACAATTTATCAATGAATGAAATAAGAATAAGAAGGAAATTAAAATATTCCTTGTTAAGTTTTAGACAAGACAGATTTTAATATTCTGAAAATTTTAAAAAACAGAGGTCATTCTGTATCCCTATTGGTCCTTCTAAAATATGACAGATGCCTGACCAATATCGTCGCAGAATTTGCTACTTTTTCAAATTTTTCTCGCATGAGAGTCTATTATTAAATTATTATGATGGGAATATACTTTAAAACGGCAATAATTTGAAAATAAATTTTAATTTTATTACAAGAATATAGCACATAGAAAGATTTGTAGTTTATTTTAAAACAATTGTAGAAAAAAATTAATAGTCTATCAAATTAGCAAACAAATATGATTTTGGTCTAAAATCCTTTACGAGTTTCATCATTGTTGAATCTTGTGATCGATTTTCGCAAGGCTTTCCCCCTTGTGTTATCTTAAACTTGCTCTTTCATCATATTTGCTCCACGTAAAACGATCCATACGTAATGAGTGGGAATATGAAAAAACGCCCGCACATGTTTTCGCTCCGGCCTATTCGAATTTCCCTTTCGAAAGAAAATGAACCTTTTTTGATTAAAAAGTAAACCATAAAAACCACACAGTAGCACCCCTGTGTACGGAACTATTACGTAATGTATTTATAGCCTCACCGTTAATATTGATCCGGTGATTTTCAATTAAGATAAAAAATTACACTGCGGCATAATTCCACAAAATTTCCTTGTAGATTCTTCTTCGTTTATTCGAGTGTTTTCCGGCTCTTTTACTACCTTCATCAGTGAAAAGTATGCTTAACCCAGTTAAGCGACACGTCTATACACATGGTGTGCTAATTGTTTATCAAACAAACGTTCTTAAAATGAATGATTTGTAGAAAATGTTTACATGTTAGATAAAGAAAGTGTTAGAAGCGAAACGGTTTATAATTGGCTTGTAATAAACATTTATATTAAACTTTGATTCGCCGCGTGGCCGTGAAGCAGCGCGCGTTAATTGATTGGAAAATGAATAACTGATCTTTGTCAATTGGGTAGCTATTTTTAAAATCTAAACAATTATACTATAATTTATTATCGGTTTAATGGGTTTAATAAATTAACATTCCTGTACCTACCTGATGGAAAAATATTGTGATATGGGATCTGGTATTGTGTCTGCAGATATAATCACAATAATTAAAATAGAAACTTTGTTGCTTATAAACTTAATCAACGATGAATAGATGGTAACAGAAATTTAAAAAAATAGAAGTTTTTGGTCGGTTTTTAAAAGTTATATATACCGATATCGATAACTGAATTAAAAACGATATAAAAATTGTAAAATACCTGGTTCTCACATGACTCCGCTTATTTTAAGAAGCATCTCCATTTAATTGTGCAGTCAATCTGCGGAGAAACACCGGTGGCAGATAAGAGGTCAAATAACTCAATGATAACCGTTTATCGTGCCGCAAACGAAATTCATTCAGTCAAGTTCACGCTATCTGCAACAAGAACACAATAAACAGTAAGATCACAATGGAATAATATGCTCAATTTAATGTTAACCAAGAGGTTTCGGCTGTTTAATACTAAAATAATATGTTGTCTACAGGTGGGAAGACTTGCGTTACAGTCAGGTACCCGTTATAAATTTTAATTGTTGCCCAATGGTTGTTGAGTTGTTAGTAACGTAAAGTATAGCTAAATTATGTACCTAATAGAGCAATAAATAAAAAATTAAAGAGTTAACTAGGCAATTAATCTTGTGTAAATTCTATTTAAAGGGGAGCACAATGCTATAAGCTCCTATAACTTTGTATTATGTGTAAAGAATGGGATATGTAGAATGGATGCAAAGGCTTCATTAACATGCAATTTAACTTTAATATTATATATTTTTAAACATCTTTGGCCATTATGTTTCACCTACTTTATGAAACAAACCGCTTGAACCCAATTTGACTAAAGCAAACTACATGGGAATCAATTTACACCAATAATTCCCAAAGCAACTCTTTGATTAAAACTTTAGTTTCATTACGCCATAAACTAACCGTTAACTAACAAACTGAAGTATCCAATATACCATTAACTCCACTGTATAACATACCAAGTGCACTAAACAAAACTATTATTCTCAGCAGACCTCAAATATACCAGTAATGCGAAAGTAAAACCAAATGAAATAAATACGTACCTACAAACATAATAAAAAACAGAATTGAACTAAACATGCAATAGATTTTACTGGAAAATTATTGTACTGCCGGGGGACAATTATTTTAATAATAGGTAACTATGTAAGTATATTTTTACGAACATAGTTCAAATTTTATTACGAACATTCCTGGTCAATAACGAGCAAAAATAGAAAATTAGTATCTGCGTTTGTGAATCATGGATTATTAGCTGTTTACTCGATAATCCATTGTGAAGGAGGACAATTATTATTAATTAACGATATTTAATTGATTTATTTGCCATTAAAGATATCGATAGAGGTGCACGAGTTAATTTACAGACCAAATAACCTGAAATTAAAAACCTGAAATTGGGCCCTAATTGGTAGATGTTGTATCGGGCCGATGCCAGTAGGTCAGGTGGAATTGAAAACGAAAACAGAAATAGTTTATAATGGCGATGATAACAAGGTCATCGTGGTAATTCGGATGTTTCCAACGTTAAATCATTTAGTAATAATTACAGTTTACGAAACCGGTAACTATATGAACAATGTGAAAGTTCATAAATTAAAAATCAGAAATAAAAAATGAAAGGTTTGTTCTTCGGTGTTCTCAAATGGGATTACCAGTACTAAAGACCGTTTAAACCAGGGGGAAGATGGAGAAACCAAGGGAAATAGCAAGTGAAATTAATGAAGGAGTGTACTGGGAGTTAAAAAGATGAGATTACAATTTTGATCAGCAATAATCTCGAACTTGAGATGTACTGCAACAATTCTAATAGTGACTTGCGTGTTGCATGATGTCAAGAAGCAGCAAATTCGAAAATCTTGTTTAATTATAGTCATAATTAAAAATAAATGCGTTTCGGTACGCTTGTTGTTTTGTTGTAAAAAAAAATTAATTATTTGGTTTAAAGTACTAAATAAAAAAAAAACGATAATGAAATACGAGTTTACATTACAATAAATCAATGAAACTTTTAAAATTACAATTTTATAATATTCCAATACATAGAAAGTATAGTTTGTCCTTTTTTAGCATATATTTCCTTGATTAACGCCCTATTAAGGAATGGTATTTTAGCAAGAAAACATTAAATTACAAGCCATTAAAATTGTCTTCTAATCGATTCTCTTATAAATTATATAAATAATTACGTGGAAGGAAATACGATCTAGTTTATTATAAGGATCGTAAACATTTTCTGTGATAACTATCCAACCGTTCAAAATGCATTTTTCCACGACTGGAAGACAAATTTGTAATTTGTTGCGAGAAAAAAACCGTTTTGCTATGGTTTAACTATTACCAATAATATAACGGTATTTTTTCTTCTAAAAATCTGTTAGGTAATCTCAGAATTAGCATCAGATCAATGAATAAAATGCATAAATAACAATTATCTACATAATTCGATAGCTAAATACCGTTTTAAACTCAATAGGATACACACAATAACATTTCTCTAAGTTTTCTTTTCACTATGTTATTAATCAGAATTTCACTTTTAGAACTAAATAGGATTATTTAATATTATTAATATGTCCTACCTATTATGTGTAACAGTAATCATTTAATTTCTTTACGGTTATAACTTTGCCGTAATTAACAGTTAAGCTTCTATAATATTAAAGTATACGAAGCGAATTTATGTCGGTATTTCACATTCATCACATCAAACATCCTGCTATAAATTTAGCATAAAAATTCGGTCAGTTGTGCCTCTATTTTCTGTAAAAAGCATTTCCAACCTCATTATTACCCGCAAAGCAGTTTTTCTGCACATACATCCGTATAAAGGCGTTCTATTAAAATTCATAAAATTTTTGAATTTCTGTATCATTTCCTGTGGCATCTTGCATTCGGGACATAATTCACTCGGTTTTAATACGTGCTTGCGAATTTAATGGGCGACTTTCCTATACATTAAACTTTTATTTATAATTCATTAGAAATTGAAATAAAATAAATGGTGTATACTTGAAAGTATTACCTACTTTTACTAGCTTGCAGAAGATACCTTGTAAAATTGTGTCTGTACCTAATAGGACTATTGTTAAAAAATATGAATATATTATTGTTACTGCTACTGTTTATTCTGCCAAAGACCTGCTGGCACTTTATAAAGAGTAAGAGTAGATATTAGCATATAAAATTTAAATACAATAGATTCCATGTGAACATAACGTATGATGATATTTTTAAATAAAACTTGATAAGCGTAAAAATGGATTTTTAATAACAAATTAAGTTTAAAAGACCAAATTTATGGAACATAACACAACTTCTGACATTTACTATCGACTTTTCAAAAAAAATCCGGTATATTTTTTTCACGAATTTTAATAGCCCAACAGGTGTTTGATAAGTAGTTCAATCTCATACGAAATCAAAAAAATTCTGTTTTCTAAAACAGAAACTTTTATACCGTCAATCCGGTGAAATTGCCTATGAATTAATTAATTCGTTTTCGTCAAATTCCACCGTTATTTGACGGGTCAATTTGATTTGTTCATGCCTGGATTAATTGATTAACGAGTGGAGGAAAATCCTATTTAAGTATGCCAAAGTTAATGATTGTTACTGAATAATAATCTCATTTCAAACATTCATGTTAATTGTAGTTATCATTGATTGTTTGTATACGAACACCTCTAAATAAAGAAACTTTTTTACAGGCTATAGTTTCTGTTACGTGTCGTTCTTGAAACTATATTTATGAATGGAAGAGAAGATTATTCTTTTTACTTTTTATGTATTATATTTAGCTTTTTGTTCAGTAATATGGTCAAAGTTCTAGATAATAGATTAATTTAATTAAGACATAAATATCCTAAAAATATACCAGGTGAATGATGTCAGAGTATACTTAGTTGCCTACATAGTTTTGAATAAACTTTTACGATACGAAACAAAATATTTTTATGTTTTACAATTATAGCATTGACCGTATTAGTATTTTCATATCAAGTCAATTACCATCTATGCTTATACCATTTGTAAATTAAGCAACCAATTTAATAAACATTTCTATTGATGAATCAGTTTCTTAAATTAAAACTATTGTTACCAAATTCAAATAATAAATCAGCACGAATTACCAACCACGGCGGAAGTACAATATGGTTTCTGTGTCCTGTTATAAATAAAATAAAGAGTGACAATATTCGTGACGCGTCGGCTAATAGATAAGGCACTATTTTGAAGAATTTATACAGGTATAATCTACAGGGTGAATCATGACAATGAGTCACAATTGCAATCAATGTGTGTTGGGGTTGAATAGGTGTTGAATTTTTTGATGGTATCCGCATTGAAATGCATACGATGATGAATGATAATATTGGAAAATTTTTAGATAAAGTAGCGGATTAAATATCTCGAATGTTACACCATCAAACAGTATCGACAAACAAATCTGCGTAAAAGCTGATAAAATGCTATTTGTATAGGTACTTGAATCAATTTTATTCGAGTATGTGAAGAGCTTAGGTTAAAAAAATTCAAAATTATTATTCACAACGAACAAAGAGATGCGGCTTTTGTGTCGCCTCTTCAGTTGAGTGTAAATACAAAAGTGGTACTCGTATTGATGAAAACGGGCAAATTGTGAATAATAATGGTTAGTACGGTTGTACTCTTAAATATGAATTTTTTAATAGAAATAATTCGATTAAAAATATTATAATCTTCTGTTGAATAGAGAAAGTTTCGATGATACTGCAAATTAATTGATAGATATTGCTTTAGGGGAACCTATACAATTTTTAGTCCAGTCTTCAGCAAGAACTTTTTTTTAATTAATTTGTACGAAAGTGAAATGTTTGTGTTAAAGCGTAGATACATTGTTCCTCGATGGCAACATAAACAACGGAAACTCCAACCTACCCTTATGCAAAAGGGAGTGGGCTTTTATGTGAGTCAACCCTTCGCGACCAAAGCGAAACGACTTTATCGAAAAAACAAGTAAACCAGGTTTTCATTAAAATTGCATGCATTTAGCGCTGCATTTTATCGACGATTTTCACCTGCCCTAATTTCCCCAAACGGCGGGTCGCGGACAAAAAAAAGTACAAAAACCACTCAATCATCAACGATCACACTCGCGATTGATCCGAATTTAAACATCCAATGAAACTCACCATAATTACGGTAAACGATAAAATCCGTCCGCCCGAGCACTCTGTTGCTTTGCTCGCGACCGCCGAAGAACAATCGCTCGGATATTTCGGACCAAACTGCACGCTCGCTCTACAAAGAAATTGTCGCAAAAGCGCTCCGATGCGAACCCGACTCGCGTATGTTATGTTAATGCGAATCGAAATCGACAATGTACTTTCCTCGGTGTGCACTGCACGCACAGCTGCAGCCCCGTCGAACCGCGGATTATTTGATACAGCGTCGCGTTTCAGTCCCGATCGAGGCGATTCGAAGCGCGCCTTCCAGATCGCCGGCGGTTGCGACTGCGTGCGCTCCGACTATGTGTCGATAAATTGGTCGTCGTCGGGGAAAAATCTGTGGACGGATGGATGGATAGATGGATAGATTTTCGACGGGACTCATCAGCCAAGGTTTGAATCATTTGCGGCATGTAATTGTTCGCGATTTCCGTTTGGAGGATCGGTTGTTGTGGGATATCGATTTTTGAGCTGTTTACGCAGGTTTGGTGTGAACGAGGGTAGGAGGTGTATAATGAGGAATGTAGCTACATACGAAAGAAATATTGGTAATATAGAGAAATGAGAACTGTTCAAATTCGCATCAAGCAGGAATAAAAGACCTCTTATCTTTCTATAAGGATCTTGTCTTGCAGGTTTAATGATCAATGTGACTTAAGTGCCTTTAAATCTGGTGCTAAGTAGTAGTTATTAGGTATATGGCACCATTTTTGGATCAAGAAGTTTTTAATTATGGAAAATAAGGCACGTATTGTTTCTTCAAAATTTAACAAATTTCCTGATTGTATATTGTACAATATATTAAAATAGGATTTTTTTTTGTCTTTTTTTTTGCGTATTGATACTCATAATTTTTCTTCATTATTCATTTTCAATTAAATTTTATTGAGCAAATTGGTACACACTTCTTTCTCATTTCATTATATTGTTTAGCCCCTATTGAGAATGAATAAAATTCAATTTATCAATTTAAAAATGTCGTGTCCCTTATTCTATACAGGGTTTTTCATGGTAGCGTTTATTAGGGCTTTTAGGGGTTCCTGAAGAGTCAACTTCGTTATTTCAAATGGAAAGTACCAATTTTAACTTCATTTTTGGATTCTGTGGTACTTTTTAACTAGACTTTGATAATAAGACCATATGCCAAAATTGCACTTATTTTTTAGGAAAACTGTCGAATGTATTTTCTACGATATCTCTATTAATAATGCAGCTAGAAGTTTGGTATCGATAATGTCCAGACACAGTACTAAATGAAACTAAACTGCGTTTATCATCCCGTATTGAATCCGTACAGAAACGTTAGCTCTAATTACGAAAATACAAAAAATACTTCTCTTTCATTATCTAATTAAACTGCAGATATTTTTAATATGAAAGATTACCTAAAACAACAGATCGAACGCGCAATAGATTTCAAACATATATGATGGATAATGTCATCAAAAATGCCAAAAATCCTCGAAAAATTTCGATATCCAATATAAAGGAAAGTAAACACTGTTGATAATCCCACGCCACGGTTCACCATAGTTTATCAGTACGCGTAGCGCAATAAATGCTGCAGACCTTGGAATGTTATTAGTTACCGCGCGCCGAGGCAAGACGTTCGTTTGACAATGCCGTATTTCGTAGGTACGTGAATAAAAACGGAATTTTTAATCAGTTACAACATAATCAACGTGAAAAAGTTCCTTACCAGCGACCTTTTCTACCAAGATGAATTATTTCATTCGAAGCGTTCGAAACGGAACACTTAAAAATATTCGACTTTTGCAGGAGTCGATGTAGGCACAGGGAGCGTTAGAGCTGCTTTGGTAACGGACAGCGGAGAGATTAAAAAAGTCAAAGTCGAAGAAACTAAAACTTGGAACGATCAACCCGATTTTTACGAACAATCATTCGATAATATTTGGGGTGCTGCGATCAACTGCGTCAAGGTAATACATAATTAAGAACTGTAACAATGTTAAAAAACTGATGCATAATGTAAAAGCATTTATTACCTGCTTTCACATACGTTTCTCTGCATAATTTTTAGTTGGAATTCGATGTAATTCAATTCCTTGTTTTAAACTAATAAATATTCTTTATCATTATTACCTATTAATTTAATACTGCTTACTGCTTGAAATTTAACAATGATTGTGTGTTCTTTACAGATAACTTTTAAGAAAACAGGCCTTGTTTAAAAAAGTACGCTTGAGCAGAAAATTTTCGTTAAATATTACGTACATTATAAATACAATCCGTGTTATTTATCAACAGTAATTAATGGAGTTTTAACATTGATATAAATGAACTTGTTTTCAATTTGTAACTTTATCAGTTTCTAAAATTTTTTAACAAGTCAATAGAAGTTGGACAATTTTATTTATAGATCTTTAATATTCTTGTTTCAACTGGGATTTTGATGCTTACACCGGATATCCAGATAAGGTTTGAAAATAAATACTCAATATTTCACTTTTTATATCGAAATATCCAATCTAAATTTAATAAAAATAAATTTCGCAAAAGTCATAAGAAACAGGTGCTAGCACAGGATGCAAGCAAAATAAAGCCGGTAATAAAATTGACGATCAAAAAATTTTAATCGAACACAAGTAATTAGTATACAACATAAAATAAAACCAGTAAAAACCATCTAAACTCAAAAAATTCCTTTTACCAAAAGAGCCTTTTGTGTCACAGGATGTAATACAAGGGATTAATCCAGAAGAAATCAAAGGCATAGGCTTCGACGCCACCTGCTCGTTGGTTTGTTTCGACAAGGAAGGCAAACCGCTGACTATTAGCCCCGGAGGTAAGCCGATAAAATTTCGATCCGATCGATTTCCGAACGTTGAATCTTAGGATCGAACGAGCGCAACATAATCCTTTGGTTGGACCACAGGGCCGTCAAGGAGGCCGACGAAATAAACAAAACCAACCACGAGGTCCTCAGGTATGTGGGCGGGAAAATATCCCCGGAAATGGAGACGCCGAAGTTGCTCTGGCTCAAACGCAACATGAAAAAAACCTGGGACGAAGCCGGTTACTTCTTCGATCTCCCCGACGCTTTGACGTGGAGAGCGACCAACGTGGATTGCAGGTGATTTTAGTTTAAAATAAAAATACAATATCCTTCGTGTGTATCTACGTCTTTAATCAACGTTGCAGATCAAAGTGTTCTTTAGTGTGCAAATGGACCTACGAAATGACCGAAGAGGGCGACGAGGGTTGGAATCTTTCGTATTTCCAGGAAATCGGGATGGAAGATTTGTCTGCCAACTGCTGGAGGAAAATCGGGAATTGCATTCAAGCACCATGCGAACCGGTCGGATACGGGCTGTGCGAAAGGGCCGCCGGCGAGTTGGGGTTGAAGAAAGGAACGCCTGTTGGGACGTCTATGATCGACGCTCACGCCGGTGGATTGGGCTTGATTGGTACCAAAGCAGATGGAATCGATCCTGCGTTTCACACTCGTCTTAGTAAGTTAATATTTGGTTTTTATTTGAATTTACCATCAGAGTATTTGGTGAAAAATAGATAGTTTTGCCTGCTAACTTCATGCAGATTATTTATGGAGCAGATTAATTAATATAGCAAAAGTAAAGCCTGGACGATGTCAGATACTAGTAGATAAATCTTTAGATAAAAGAATGGGAAAGAGGATACTTTTAACTTATTTATCATTTGAAATATAGAAATAGTTTGATTCGTACTTTAGACCTATTAGATAATATTCACTCTGTTAGGCTTTAATTGGGTACTTGAAGGGTTTTTTTTTTGTTCGAAAATTAGGCTACGCTTTAGCTGGAGTTTGTCGAAATTACGGCGTTATTTACATTTCGACACTCTAAAAATAGGCACCCACTTTGAATGTTACCTTTTATTTAGGTCAGTTGGAAACGAGCGCGCTTGTTCTACAAGCTTTGTGCAGCTCTTTTCGGTCAAGTCACACGAATGCTCTGCTAATCGACAAATGTTTGCACATCCGGATAAAAAAGCATCCAAATAAAAAGGTTTTTGGAAAATACCTTCTGACAAAAAAATACCCAGAAATTCTGATTTAAAACAATGATTTTAAACAATTAGAGAGATTTCTCAGAGGGATCAGTTTGGTTGTACCAGCTGATTGAATCAATTCATTCATCCCGTTTTGACTCTATAAATGCCATCAAAGAAAATTCGCAGAATGAGCTAAAAGCAGTACCAAAAAGGGCCTATAAAATGCTTTGATGATTGGAAATGCGCCTATGTGTATCACTTCAAAAGTAGTATATTTTGGAGAACCCTCAAGAAATATTAATGAAGATTAGAAATTTTGGGTTTTATTCCAAATCTCCGGTTACTTTTTTATCACAGTAAAATTCCCAACCTTCAATTGGGCAAAAATCTGTAAACCCCACCCTTAGCCAATTTAAAAAAGTAAATCTCTTTTTTTATAAACTTCTTTCAATCAGGCTTAATTTGTGGAACATCAACTTGCCACATGGCTGTCTCACCGACCGCAATTTTCGTCCCCGGCGTGTGGGGCCCTTACAAAGACGCCATGATTCCCGGCATGTGGTTGAGCGAAGGCGGCCAAAGCGCCACGGGAAAGCTCATCGATTTCATCATCGAAACGCATCCCGCCACTCCGGAAATCATGAAGAAGAAGGGCAACGAGTACGAAGCACTATGAGCGCTAATCGAACGCGAAGATTTTAATTGTATTGCTAATTTCAGGCCGATTATGATATACCTGAACAAAATTTTGGAAGACATGGCCAAGAAGAACAATCTACCGTCTGTGTCTCTCCTTACTCATGACGTGCACGTTTGGCCGGATTTCCACGGGAATAGATCGCCCATTGCAGATCCTTTACTGAAAGGCATGGTACTTACTTAACGAACCGCCTTGGAGAGATTTAATAGTAATTGTTTTGTAGGTGTCTGGTTTAACACTCGCAGGAGATGAGGAAAGTTTGGCTTTACTATATCTGGCTACTATCCAGTCTCTAGCGGTAAGTCGTTACTTCTCTCATCTTGATCATCTCCAGTTTCCTTACCCATACAATATTTATACATTCTATAACACCTCCCAATTTCAAACCAAGTAAAATCCTCGATTTACAGTACGGTACCCGCCACATAATCGACGCCTTGCGAAAGGCCGGTTACAAAGAATTGAAATCGTTGCTGCTGTGCGGCGGTCTCAGCAAAAACCCCATCTTCACCCAAACCCACGCCGAGGTCTGCAATCTGCCGCTGGTGTGCCCGGAAGAACCGGAATCGGTGCTGTTGGGGGCCGCGATATTGGGCGCTTGCGCGTCGGGCACCTTCGGCAGCATGAAGGAAACGATCGCGGCGATGGGCAGCAATGGGATCGTGGTGAATCCTACCAGCGACAGGAACATCGTGGATTTCCACACGAAGAAGTACCAGGTGTTCCATATGATGTACAAGCACCAAATGGAATATAGGAACACTATGCGAGGATCACAATGTGACCCCAGGTGTGCTGGCTCGTCTTGAATATTACTTACGGGGTATATTGTTTTTATTATAATAACAAAGTATAATTTTGTTATAAAATGTGAGATTTTTTATTTTTCTCTCGATTTAAAAATGCCCTCGTCCCTTATACAGGACTTTTCAAGGAAACCGTCCATTAGAAGTTATAGGAGATCCTGAAGAGTTAGAAATCTGAAAATTTAGGAGCAAAGGATAATCAATGTTGTGAGTTTTTCTAAAATATTTTCATCCATATGTGACTTCCGGTTATACCGGAAGTAGATGTCAACTTCGTTATTTAAAATGGAAAGTTCTATTTCTGACTTCATTTTTTGGATTATGTGGCTCTTTTTAACTAGACTTTGATAATACCACCATATGCCAAAAACGCGCCACTTTTGAGTTATTTAATTTTTTTCGAAAAACGGTCGAATGCATTTTCTATATCTCCGGCAATAATGCACCTAGAAGTTTGAAATGTGGTATTTATAAGATCCAGACACAGTACAAAAAGAAACTAAACTGAGTTTTAATGGTCTATTTACAGGGCGTTTAAAATTACCTGACAAACTTGGCTATCTTAAAGTGGGCATAACTTTGTTATTTCAAATGGATCACCCTGTATTTTTACATGATCTCCTATAACTTGTAGTGGACGGTTTCCTTGAAAAGCCCTGTATAAGGAGTACTAATTCATTAAAAAGGGAAATACAGGCTTATTAAATGGACTACTTTGTGGGAAACACTGCATGATTTAAAAAATTTTGCTAACCATAACTAAATTTCACAATTGAATCTTATCACTTATCAATTTTATAAACGTTTATTGGAAAATTAAGACATTACAGGTACTTTTTTCATCAGAAAATCACAATGATGCCACCTAGACTAATAAAAAATTATAGAACATGTAACACGAAAATATCGATAATAAAATAAATATACATTACAATTCATGTCAGGAAAATTAATACTTGGAAAGAAACAAAATGATTACCGTTAGTTTGTGTCATGAGAAATTCAAAGTTCAATTAAAATTTGAGCGAATTATCGACGTCGCCGCTAAAAATATCGAGTTATCACATAAGACACGCTTGCTTTTTTTTACTGGAATAATTTCAATTCGAAAAAATTCAGCAATACCGATATTGTAACACCTAGCAAATATTTCTTGGGGTAGACATCTCGCAGTAGCCACACTGATTCACAATTTTGATACAATTAAGAAATTTGAAACATATTATTAACAATGAGCCAATAATTTCGATTGAAGTTCAAAAATAAAATAAAATCGGTATGTTACTAGAGAGGTATCTACACAAAGTACAGCATTTTTATAAACTGCTCTGTATTTTTAATATCAAAACTAAAAATTATCGTAAGAACATTTCCATTTCTACTGGATTCTATTGGGACGTCAACGGAGACATTCCCACTTGCCTGGGATCGGTAGCAGCTGTAGATTCAAGATTCTTCAGTAACTGGGATAACCAATGAGTAGTCGATTTATCTTCTTGAAGGCAAACGTTGAATGTATTATCTCTAAGTTGATCCGGCAGGCATTGTCTAAGAGCCTCCCTTGCTCTAAAATCATTACGAATTTAATGAATTTGATGATACGAGATTATCGAGTATTTTACCTGGGATTATCCGACAATCTGAGGTAACACCTTACGACATGTTTCAGGAGCCTTGCAGATGGTTCTTTGGCCAAGGAAATTACCATTTTACCCTAAAATATGAGTAGTTTTACAGAATTTATTAAGCGTAAACAATGCATTGGGTTCATTTAATTACAGGATGTTAATTAATTGAGTGCTGATACTTCAGGATGTGAATATTATTTAATCTATTTAATAAGTTAATATTATTATATCTGGAGTAATAAGAAATTTATGACAGAAAAGTTAATCTATTTTTCTAAAACTAACACCCTGTAACTGGAAAACCAAGATATTTAGGACATATATTGATATAAACTTTTCTTCTTAGAATCAGCCAAATATTCACATCCTAAAGTATCGGAACTCAATTAATTAACACCCTGTATAGTGTAATCTACTTACCAAAATCATAGCTACGTGGCTAAACCTATCGTAAGTTTGACAAATGTAGGACAGGCCACTATCATCCAATAATATCTTTTGCAGAATAAAAGTAGCCACAGTCTTGCTCAGTTCAGAACCCGATTCCATTATTCTAAGACACAAGGGTATAATCTCCGTAGTGAGAAGGAAAGTGATGACTTCCTGCTCATCAGTCTACAACAACACCATATCGTCTTCTTATATCGGAGTATGCTAAATGAAATCGAAACTTACCTTTACTAAAGCTCCTATCACTCCCAAGCTGGTTAAGCGTAAGTACTCGAATGCTCTAGTTTTGGAAGAAGTGTGGAGAAACGGATACAAAAAGAGCGGCACGTGGGCCAGTAAAAACTGAGATCTAGTCTCAGAGTGTGAGGCAACGCACTGCAAAAGAGCCAAAGCATTGCAAACCCTGAAAATAAATATATATTTAAGTGTAAAGCACACTGTATTTTTAAGATGTGTTCAAGAGTCGTAAGGCATTTAGGCCCGGTTGCTCTTACGCGGATCTACTTTGATCTGGGATTAAGCCGAGATTAAATCGGGATCAAATATGGCCACCCTAACTATTGATCCGACTTTGATCCGAGATCAGTTGATCCGACTATGATTCCTGTACGAGCAACCGGGCCTATATGCTTCTTTTTAAAGTAAAATTGGGTAAACTTATGGTTTTTATAACTAACCTATTTGACTGGTGTGATGTTAGTGTAGGTGGATTTATAGCAGGATAAATATTTATGATTTCCTGTAGTAACGCAGCTGTTGTACCGAAGCTATTCCATAGCATCGGAGCCAAATCGGGCACAACTTCCCTTTTTTTGCTGAAGGGTAAAAATTGGAATTAATCGATTGTTTACGTAATACTTGTATACAATACCTGAGTTCTAATAAAGCATTCTCCCTAGTTTCTGGATTGGTAAGTTCTAAAATCCACATATAAACTTTTTCTCTCTCGACGGTTTGATTAGCCGGACTAAGTTGCGTGCTCATCTTTTTTGTCGATTGTATTATCGATTTATTTCAGCAGACGGGTATAATTAGTATGTAAGCGTTAAATTTGAAATATATTCATTAAAATTTATAAAATAAAACTGGTTCAAATAAAAAATCTAGATCAAGCATAAGCATAACAAACTCTCTGACAAATGACGTGTGGTTGACGTTTGACGTTCAAGCGACAGATGACAAGACATTGTTACCAAACTAAAATGATACCATTGCAACCAAACTTCGTTTAAGTAAACTCAAATATCCCCAAATTAATGAATATAGAGAATCCAAAATCTGAAATTTTCATTGAAATTCATAATATCGTAGATAATCAATTGTCTCACTAAAAACTATACCAGTTCTTGATGCAAATCATTAATTTGCTCTAGGCTAGAGCTACTTTTTAACTTTTTCGGCGCAATTTTTATACCAAAATAGCCAATGAAGATACGCAACCTTTTTTTTTATTATCTCTCGCATTTGTTGTTAATAATTGTCTGTAATTGATTATTTATGAATGATGAGTGAATATTTATAGTGCCAGTATATTGCGGTAGTGTTGAAACGATGTAAGGGTATTTTGAAATTGATTGAATAAAACAATTAAGGGAACACTATTTATTTAACTGAATTAATGGACAGTGTACTGTGTAATTTAGTATAAATTCAAGTATGCCATGTTGATAAACACAAATTTTGTTAATTGGAAAACGATTAACATTGATCACATGACAACTGTTTGCTTCTTATTTCATCATTATCATCTACAGGACATTAAAAACTATTGGTATCAAATTAAAGCACTGTATTTACAAATATAGTTACCAAAAAGCCAAACGAAACGAATTACCTGAGCTGTAGTTCCTGAGAAAAATTATCGTGTGGATTCATATAACAGGATGTTAACAATAAAATATATAATCGGTTCTCTATAAACAAAGCCTTACATTTCAACAATCGAATAGGCAGTTCAATTAATCCACAATTATTAAATTTCTACTTATGTTACAGGTCTAACAAGAATAGCAACGACGCGACATCGTTGCCAAGCACCTTTATGAATATAATTACAGTTAGCACCAGAAACAATAGTAGAAGTGTAACAATATACAGGGTGGTCGTCGAAATACGAGCGCTCCTTACGCTACGATTTAGGTAGCAGAGGGGCCATTGGTCTTTCGACGACTCAATGTCCTGTAACAGAAAATGTTTACCAATATTACAGTAAAAAAATTTCGTGAATCTACATGCGTTACACCCATCAAATAGAAATTTCGTTCCACCAATCATCTTTAAAGCAATGGCACACTGACACAAAACTTGTAACTAGCACTAATATATAAACTGTGTTGTACAAATAGTATTCACCGTAAGTAAAATATAAACTTATATTGATACCAAAGTTAAAACATGAACAACAAATATATAATTACTGAGGTAGTTTACATTTTTTTTAATTTAAATGATTACCTTAGATCGGATATCGGATTTGAGGAAAGATGTGAGCACCGAGAAACGTACCCGACGAATGCTGTATGTTTAAAAAAAACTCAATACTTATGAAAAACGCACTGTCGCATTTCATTTAAGTGCTCGCATTAATCGATGCTTTTATAGGAGAGAAATCAAAAACGAACTCAGTAAAACTATTGGAAAAATTAGTAAAAATATGATTTGAGGAGTATCCGGAACTAAGGTACTAAATCTACAGCGGGCTGGTTTGCACATCAGTCTCCGTCTAGCAATGTGTAACATGTACTATAAACTATAGTGTTGCGATAAAAATGTACAAAGTGACTTAAATCAAGCGACTCCGACAGATTCCTGGCTATACAATTTAATTTTTTTCAACAATTACCGAATTAATACATCATTTCATTTTTACCAATTTGTCTAATGAACCACTTGAACCGGGAAATCCTGAAGCTTTGAAATAAATCATTGTGTACAAGGAGAAAGTGCTCTGAGCGACGCGTTTCGCCGGAACATTTAACCTAGAGAACATCTATATTGAAAATCATTTCCGAGTACATCGAACGGTAACGGATTTATGTGATACTAACAATTTTATTAAATCGAAAGGCTTCGACAGAGCCTTTTCTCCTACAAATTAAAATACCAGTTGATTATATAATATGCACTATATACTATAGAATGACTTTGATTTTATATGGAAAGGTCCTTTCGGTATCATCTTAACAACACACAAAGTATGATTTCTACGTAAACCACGTACGTTCAACTCGTTTAAAAATAAGATGAATACGCGAAATCACCTTCTATGTAAATATATAGTTGTAGTTTTCACGGACATATCAGAAATCTACAAACATAAAAGTAATAATATGAAAAATGCATAACTCCAAGAAAAAAAAACTATAACTATAGAATAACTTTTGATTCCTATTTGATGATTGAATTTGAATTCGATGAAAAAAAATACAAAAGCTTGCCTCATTGCTATATAATATACACATAAATCAAGTTCCAAATGACACATAAAAGCTAGGGCAAACTTTCGTCACACACAATCAAATTCAATCTTTTACATAGGACGTTCAGTTAGGCACAATGAAATACCATAACTTTGAATATGTATGTTTAATTATATGCAGTGGATTGTCAGTCAAATGTTTATATTATTTCAGTGACCAACTATATGTTTTTACTTTAATGTATTAACTTATCAGATTTGACTTTTGATGTGTAATACCTTTACAATTCGTATTAGATTTGTCCCAACAAAGATTCCGATCCGTTTCGGACTTTTGTACAGTAAATTCAGAACGGTTCGGCAACTTTGCGGGAACAAACCAATCAGTACAGGAGAGTCAAAAAAAGTTATTTCATTTAAATTTACAACCTTCTAAACGGATAATTATCAATTGAATGATTCGACTCGTTCATGCGTTGAAAGATTGATTAAAAACATTAATGACATTTCTGCAGTTTGGTGTTTTGCGACAAAATTATTGAATGCGATTTTTTCCGTGCGAAAAAACCGCGTACCGTCAAATATCTGCTTATTAAGTTTAACTGTTAAGCAAAGCTCGTCTTGTTTTTGGGGATAAGTTGAGTTTTAGGTTGCCCAATACTGCTGATTTTGGAAAAATTGAAAAAAATTCGTGAATTGTGATCGCTTCGAGTAATAGAAAATCGTATCAAAAGCCAAAAGGGTGAATAAAAAAAACGTTGATTTTTGAATTACTTGAAGCTCGCAATAAAACTATCGTTAGATTTTTTTGTATGGACAGATATCTAGATGTTAACGTATTTCGTGTGAAAAATGGATTGGATGATTTACAGTTACGTTTCATTTTTTTTGTTCACTTTGTACTTGTAATCGTTTGCGTTGTATGATGGTATGATGTCTTCTTTTTTTTATTACCTAAGTGACGGTTTCTAAGTGTGTACTTTCCCTTATGCAAGTTTCTCGGATGGGGAGCATTTTCTCGTTTATTATTCTTTTTCTTAACCGAAAATAAATATATGTACCCTTTTAAATCTTAACATTTTTTTCTTTATAAATAAAGCAAGCTTTCTCGGTAACATTTCTTGCACTTTGGCACACTTTTTTTAATAAAAACTGTACATACGATTTAATTTTTTCTCTTTCTTTTTTATACACAAAAGTAATAAATATATTTATATTCTCAATAAAATAAATTATATCCATTTTTTCACATTTTTTTTTAAATTGAATTTGCAATAGCGACCCCGCTACATTTTAAATTTTTTAAAAATCTAACAAAAAAAATATCCTCCCCAACAAACAAATATTTATCAAAAATAGTTATTTTACATTTCCTACTGCGTGCCTCGACGTTTCCGCTTTGAGCCCCGAGACTTCGCTATTTGAAATTCCCAATCGCGGAAATGCCAATTCTACTCGCCGAATTTGGCACTGAATTAACCAAGAAATTGGTTGGTAAATTACTCAAGAAAAAAATGTATTGTCGATTTTATAAAACGATTGATTGTCTCTTTCAATAAAAGACCTGCCTTAAGTTAAGTTCATATACTCGCGAAAAGCGAATTGCGAATACATTTCTGATTGGTCAATTCGGTCAATTATGTCAAAACAAAAATCCGGTTATGTCAAAACAAATTTCTGGCGAATTCGCAAAATTTAAAATTTAGGGCGGGAAAATTGGATTGTTTTAATTTTCTGCCAATATTCGCGTAAAAATAGTTGTTTTGTGATAATAAGTGCCAAATGTCAAAAAAATGATTGAACGTTTTGTGAAATATAATTAAATTAAAGATTATGTTTATTTATTGCATTTGCAATAATAAAATCAACGGTGTTTGTTTATGAATAAAATTAATGAATTACTGTTATAAACACAAACTACAACCTTAAATATTCAACCAATTAGGTCAAAATACCGTCAAATGTCAAAATTTTAGTAAAAAATAGATGAAAACTATAATTTAAGATTCCAAAATCCCTAGAACATTTTAGTTATTTTCGCAAGTGTATGAAATACCTAAAATTTTGCTATTATTTTCTTCAAAAAATCGTTTTCGCAATTCACAATTCGCGACTGTATGAACTTTAGCTTTACTTAATCTTGATAATAGGTAGTTCACATATTAGTCAATAGTTGCGCAGGAGAAAATTTTCTATAGCGCAATCGCTGACTAGTGAATTGTTGATGCAAAATTTATTGCGAATTTCAAACGGGCGATGTAAAAGCGCCGGAAACGATCGAAACGCGCAGTTTCAGGCAAGGCGTTATAACCTAACGCCATTTTATACTTCCCGAGTTTGTACTATCAGCGACAAGTGTTTACACTACTCGCCTTGACACAAGGCAATTGAGAATCTTTCACGTCTCATTCGCACTCGTCCTACACACGTCTTGGTTTATAATAATAAATTCTCCACAACAACCGCTTGTTCGTGATCCGCAATACACCGCGACGACGGTCCCGCGCTCCAACAATTAATATAATACAGGGGACCCGTCCCATCTACTTGCGAACAACAACATTATTTCAACAAATCGCCTAACAATAATATAATAGTTAAAAATGTCTTTGCTCACCATCACATTCACACACGGTTCATTGTTCGAATCGATTTTTTTTTGTTTGTTTTGCTTTACGTTTTATTCGTAGTTATCACGCGCACCACCTTAGTCGTATAATCGTCGTGCAGCCGAACGTTTGTCCGATATAATCAACAATTTTTTCCGCAATAACGCAATTAAATTATTAGCATAAATACGATTTTAATTAAATCACTAGACAATCGACTAAATTTACCACGTTGATTGGTCGGACACTCGTTCGGCTACTACCGCAAATACACTAATCATCATCAACTTACATTTACATAAAAAAAAATCCCGAAAATTACTTAAAGCTCTTCGTTTCTACATTCACACTCAAATTATAGTAAAAAATTTAATAATAATAGTAACAGCCACGTTAACTCCGAAGGAACTCTACGCCTTTATACGCGTGTTTTACATTGTTGTAGTGCAGATTCTTTCAGAATGTTTGAGGTGTTTACAATATGGGCTTCAGTTTACGAGTTTTCAACTCTCGCGAGAGACGACGGTTAATGGGGGAATTGACGAATTTATTAACGTACCATTTTGAAATAATCCTTACGGCAAAAACGAATTCTCGCCGGCTCGAATTAGTTGAAAAACGTTCTGAATTACTTGAGAGTCGCTTCATTTTTTTATTTATAGAACGTTTGCTTTTATATCAAGTAAAATCGTTTAGAATTCACTGCGAAATTAGTGCTTTCTATTCGGATTTTACTAGATATGTTACGGATAAAGTTAGATAAACGGCTAAACCTAGGTTTAAGGTTGAAACATGGGTAGGTTGGGGTAGGTTTCTTGGGTTCCTGGATTTTATGGATTCCCGTTATGTCACGTGAAACCTACCCGACCCTACCTGACATATTTCGCACTTAACCCAGGTAAACCTAGGTTTATCTAATTTTATCCGTAACAGATATAATAACAAAATAGTTCCTTAAATATACAGAGTGAATTTGTAATTTTGGCGCTATAAATCATAAAATAAGGATTGTATAGGATAGTATTTGAAATGCACCGATACAACCCAATAGGTACTCAAAATGCTTCTCTATAGGATTTCCATTACAATAATCACACTGTTAGAAAAAAAAGCGACTGGACAGTGACTGGCTGGTCGTCGAACATCGGGGAGATAAGTTTTTAGAACACGACGCGATGCATCGAGTCGCGTTCCTTACAGTTTTCTTTGGTAAATATATGTTAAATATTAAAAAAACAAACAAAACATTTAGTGTGTTGCTATAATATTCAATCGGTTGTGTGTGTGTAAATAACGGAAATTTTAGTGGCTATAAAATCTAATATATTTTGATTATTTGAGGTAGATTGTAGTTTTAATAGGCACGTAGTTCGACGCATACCTTATTCTATGAGAGTTCTCAAAACTTTCCACTAACTTAATACAGATACAGGTCAATTCTTTTTTCTTTTTTTCGCTTAACGATATGCATATACTTCGTAATTATTAAATAAATGAACGATTAGTGAATATTAACTAATAATCAGGAAACGTTATTTTAAAATTAAAAATTCAACGACAAAAATTAAATGAAACCACATTAACGCTACTAGAAATGTTCAAACATTACAACAGCTATATATCCAACATTCAGAACAATCTAATAACGAAACAAAAACCCGAAAAAATTGACTTGTAAATGCACATTAAACTATTTAATAACTAAATGTAAACAGAAAAAAAACCAGCGATAAAAGTTAAACCGAAAATCGAAGAAATTCGACGCGCAACTCGGTACTTCACCTATTCAGCAATACGGCGATACTGTCGTACGCGGGCGGGCTAGTGTAAAATCAAGTGGAAGGCATCGAGACGTATTCTTGTACAATAGGGTATGCAGAAACCCATGCACAGGCAGTGTGTATGAATGTTGCTCTAGTAATTACTACTTTTGTGGCTCGGACGAGGTAGCTTCCGATTGACTGTTGTCCTTCTGTTGCTTCGGCTGTCGCTGTCTACCTTGCGGAGGAGCGACTGATTGAAGGACCATAGCTCGAATACGTCGTTGTGCGGACTGCAACAGACAAACAGAAACGGTATAAGAATAAGAATAAATATTAATGTTACGGGTAAAGTTAGACAAACGACTATACCTAGGTTAACCCGGGTAATCTGGAAAATACGGGGAGGGTAGATTTCTCGTGGCATAACGGGAACCCAAGAAACCCAAAAAAACCTTCCCTACCCTAGCTTACCCTACCAAGGTTTCTTTGGTAATTCAGTTTACCCGGGTACACCTAGGTTTAGTCGTTTATGTAGCTTTATCCGTAACATACACATTAAAAGATACAATTTAAGACGGTTGAAAGATAACACTTGTTTAAAAGTTTTACACTTTTTTAGTGCACGACATAAAATTAACTTTTACTTAATATACTTAAATAATATGCCATCGAAAAAAATTCAGCACATCCAAGTTTCTGTAATTTGTTCAACATGTCCGTTATAGATGGTTCTGAAACGTTATGAAATTTTCTAAATGATTCTAGAGCCTTCTAAAAGGTTCTGTAGCGTTCTAAATGGTTCTAGAGAGTTGTAAATGATTCTGGAACATTCTATATGGTTCTGGAGCATTCTAAATAGTTCTAGAGAGTTGTAAATGGTTCTAAGCAGTTCTAAATGATTCTGGAACGTTCTAAATGGTTTTGGAGCGTTCTAGAGATGTTTCTAAACGGTTCTAAATGTTTCTGGAACATTCTATATGGTTCTGGAGCATTCTAAATGGTTCTAGAGAGTTGTAAATGGTTCTAGGCAGTTCTAAATGATTCTGGAGCGTTCTAAATAATTTTGGAGCATTTCAAATGGTTCTAGGCAGTTCTAAATGATTTCGGAGCGTTCTAAATGGTTCTAGACAGTTCTAAATGATTTCGGAGCGTTCTAAATGGTTCTAGACAGTTCTAAATGATTTCGGTGCGTTCTAAATGATTTTGGAGCCTTCTGAATGGTGTGCTAGGACACCTAGTCGGACATTACTACGCAAAACCGACCCAAAATCATAAAAATTGTAACTAGTTTAATTAGGGTGGGTGTACCAGTGTTAAACTATTTAAGAGATATGTTCAAACAGTATTTGATATCGTACCTATCGCGCGTATAGTTATGAAAAATGTGTATAACATTTGCACCAAGGAATGTGCCTAAAATTGACTAGCGTAGAAGATGTCATTATTAAGCGATCAGTAAAATGTTCTTCAAGTACAAGAGTCGTCAGTAAATATTCTTCAAGTATAAGAATTCATCAGTAAATAAGGTCAGTAAATGTTCTTCAAGTTCAAGCGCAAGAAAAACGGCTACCTGGTACACTCACACTAGCATCATTTACAGAATAGAATAGTTTAAAGGATTCTTTATATGCGACTCTAAGATATGTTTTACCTGGACACTGAAGAATGGACCTATGATATGAACTGTCGTTTCGTCTTCTTGCGGAGATGTTCCTTGTTCGGGCAATTTAATTACGCTACCGGTGACACGTTGGAGTTCCCGCACGTTTTGCCCGCCTTTGCCGATAATCCGTCCGACCTGCGAACTGGGCACCATAATTTCCACGGTCAATCGCACATCATCTGACCCGGTGACGAATCCCTCTTCCCGCATCTTCTCGAAAATCAGGTACTGCGCCTAGAAGATAAAAAAACCACAATGTATTAAACCTATGAAACTACAAAGATTAATCGAGCATATGCACACCCCCTTTACTCATCTCATTCTATCATGAATAATAAGACTTCATAAGTAATATGTCTATCATAAGTATTAGAGCCTGGAAAATATGCAAAATGCATACAGGCATTTTTCAAAATATTTCGCCAATAAATAATTAAAATACACAACTTAATAACAAATAATAAAATAAAAGCGTTAACAATTTCTTGCAAATTAGGATAACTAAATGAAACATCCAAAGCTCATTCTAAGAACTCAAAGAATATGGTTGGAGTACAATTTCGGGGGTCCACCGATAATCCGTAATTTTAACGACCTTTTAATGAGGGTCTCTCGGCAGGAGGTAACCGATCTCACTATCGCAGTGCGGTGGCAAAAATTGCAAACGGGGAAAATATTCTTATAAAATAATTTAATTTAGTTTTTGCTTTATTTATTTTTCGTTATGAGTCGTCGTGTATTTTAAGATCGTTAGTTACTCTGATAAATGTAAGCTATGTAATACAATTACCTAAAATTATTATTAGTCCCAAATTAATGATGTGAGATATTTCTTTAGACAATATTTGTAATATAAAGATACGTTTTATCATTTATTATAGCTTATTATTATAAGTGTTTCTATTTGTTCAATAATATTGTGGCCCTGAAAAGGGCCGTTTGAAAATGATCCAATTTTTTAAATTGGGAAAAAAAGGTGATGTGCCCGAACGAAACATTGGAACATTTCCTCGGGTGTCGTATGTTGGGATCGCCACATGTACTCCATTAAGATTTCATCATGGGAGGAAATTTTTCCATATCTTCTTCTTAAGTCTCGTTTAATGAAAGACCATTTCGCTTCGATATTTTGCGTGTGTGTCCGCGGATCGTCGGGATTGACAAAATTTTGGGAGTGGTTAACTGTATCGTGCCGGTATCCTAGGTTATTTAAATTTAAATTTAAACGATACAGTTAACCACTCCCAAAATTTTGTCAATCCCGACGATCCGCGGACACACATGTACATGTGGCGATCCCAACATATGACACCCGAAGAAATGTTCCAATGTTTCATTCAGGCACATCACCTTTTTTTCGCAATTTAAAAAATTGGATCATTTTCAAACGGCCCTTTTCAGAGCCACAATATTATTGAACAAATAGAAACACTTATAATAATAAGCTATAATAAATGATAAAACGTATCTTTATATTACAAATATTGTCTAAAGAAATATCTCACATCATTAATTTGGGACTAATAATAATTTTAGGTAGTAACTAACGATCTTAAAATACACGACGACTCAAAACGACAAATAAATAAAGCAAAAACTAAATTAAATTATTTTATAAGAATATTTTCCCCGTTTGCAATTTTTGCCACCGCACTGCGATAGTGAGATCGGTTACCTCCTGCCGAGAGACCCTCATTAAAAGGTCGTTAAAATTACGGATTATCGGTGGACCCCCGAAATTGACCCTGAACCAAGAATATACTTAAATATAGTGTTCTGAACGGTTTTAAAGCGTCCTTAATGGTTCTAGACAATTCTAAATGATTTTGGAGCAAACTACATCATTCTGGAGCGTTCTGAACGGTTCTGGAGCTTTCTAAATGGTTCTAGGTAATTCTAAATTATTCAGGAGCGTTTTAAATGGTTTTAGACAGTTCTAAATGGGTTTAGACAGTTCTAAATTGGTTTAGACAGTTCTAAATAAGTACCGGTTTATAATAAATAAATAAGTACTGGTTTAGACAGTACTAAATGATTCTGGATCGTTCTAAATGGTTCTAGACAGTTCTACATGATTCTAGATAGTTCTAAATGGTTCTAAACAGTGCCAAATGATTCTAAACAGTTCTAAATGAATAAAGCGTTGTGAAGAGACAGTTCTAGAACCAAAAAATTATTTAATATCTAGTTCTTTCTAATTTTTTTCATATAGCATAAACGCGTATTAAAGTGCATTATAAGTGCATATTTCGAAGGGTTTTAGTGCATATTTTGCAATTCTTTAGTTCATATTTTCCAAGCTCCAATCATAAGTAATAAAGAGTAGTAATCTTTTTACAGATTAATAAGTGAATGTTCTTCTTGAATGATATGCTTACTTTCCACTGAGCCTCGGGAGATCCGACAATAGTGACTCGCCTTTCGTTGAGGGTTTCCTGAGGCTTGGTTTCGTCGATGGGGGCGATTTTGACGGAGGCGCTGGAGAATCGAATGATGTTCCTGATGTGCGAGCCTTTGGTGCCGATGATGGCGCCGACGGCGTTGTTGGGGATGTACAGATAGGTCGTTTCTTGGGAATCGCCGCCCGACTGGCTTCCTGCGGGATACATACCGGGATAAGGAGCTTGACCTGTATAAAGGCCTCTTGAACCATAGCCGATGCCTGAAGTTTAAAAAAGTGTAAGTCTGGATTTTATTGGCCATTTTCATTACTACTTTTTTTTGTTTTATTGGTAACACATTTCAATCGTACCAAATTGATTGCTTAGTGTGTAATTTGAAGCTTAGGATCGATTCTGCGACAAATATATAAGACGGAATTTCTTTAAAATTTGTATGTAACTTATAGGAGACTAGCAGAATCGCAGCGTACAATAGGAATTTAATGTTATTGATATATTAATGTACGAGTACAAAACGTAAAATGCAATTTATTTGGACAAATGAAGCTTTTTCTCAAACAATTTCGAATTATTAAAATGATTGATTTTTTTGTTTGTACGAATATCATGATAATGGTATAGTGAAAATGGTATAATAATCAAAACTTCCAACTTTTTTAGACAGTCGAAATGATTCAAAAGTCTACTATTTCAGTTATGCTTGAAATTTAACCGATTTTGTTCAGATTGAAAGTTTCAATATGCCAAAAATAGAATACGTAAAATTCACGAAACATACTACTTTACATACTGATCAACAAATAACAAAACGTTCGAGACGAATATTTCGAACGAGAAGCATATTTTTTATAAACTAGTTTCAATAAACGAATGCTATTTAATTTATTTGAATATAAAAAATCCTTCAGGTGGAATTTATATTATTTTCATACAGGGTGTTAATTAATTGAGTGCTACTTCAGGATGTGAATCTTTGGATGATTTTAAGAGGAAAGGTTTATATCAATATATGTATGTCCTAAACCTCTTAGTTTTCGAGCTACAGGGTGTTACAATTTTAGAAAAAAATTAACTTTTCTATCATAAAAACCAAAATTATTTTTAAAATCCTCATGTATTTTGGAACAAATTCATCCAAATATTTACATCCCGAAGTGCCGGCACTCAATTAATTAAAACCCTGTACATGGTCATTACTGTAACTTATGCGAAAATCAGTATACAGGGTGTTCCTAAACATCGTGCACATTCGAAAGGGGGTATTCCTTGGCTTATTTATGACTAACAATTCATATCGTTGCCGATCTACAGGATGTTTAAATTTCAAAATTTTTCTTGTTTTTTTCTTTAGAGCTCCTGCAGTTTTTGAGATATTTAGCTCAATTTAACATTTGTGGACCTATGATGTTTATATGAACTTTTAGTCATGAAATAAGCCAAGGAATAAGCCCCCTTTCGGATTTGCACGATGTTTAGGAATACCCGGTATTGGCTCAAAAGGCTAGGAAATTGGCCATTGGAAATTGGAATCCATTTTATCAGACATTTTTATTATTTACGCCTTATTGGTAGGCAACCCATTATAATCAAAACGAGAAGTGGCGGTGAAGTGCTCGAATAGACCAAAAATACGTTTTCTTCCGGATACGAGTATTAGTTCCAATTTCCATCTCGTAATTTTTGCCAAAGTTACAAACTATTCTACTAATGATAATAATAGTAATTTGATGCGATGTACCTCCAATCTTACCTGCGGTAGCCATCATCGCCATCGGATGCAAGCCGGGGAACATCATCGTCTGAGGGGCCATCGCTTGCAGATCGTTCTCGTAGCTCTGTCTCAATTTCGAACTGATTTGAGATTCGGCGCGGCTCATATTCTCTATCGTCCCTTTCACCGTTATGATACGTTCCAAATTGAACGAATTGATGTCGTTAATACTGGAAACCGTGATTTTCGTATCCGTGTCCTGCATTATCCTTTTGATCGTGTTACCCCCTTTTCCTATGATCCTACCTATAAGGTTATTGTGAGCTAATATCTTCAAAGATATTTCCCTGGAAAAATTAAAACGAAACATTTAATGATTATTTCTTTGTACATTTGACTACAATAAGTCCATAGCCTTACAAAAATTGAGCCACCAGTTTGTATAGAGTGTATAGATACTTGCCCCTTATTCGTGTTATTCGCTTCTTGTTGCATAACCTCCAAAATTCTTTTACAGGCGTTCGTACAATTTTCTGGATTACCGTAAATTGTAATAGCTTTTTCTAAAGATCCTACGTTATCTTTCCTGTGAACGTCCACTCGTGCCCTGGTTTGTTGCGTAATTTGCCTTATAGTCGAACCCTGCCTACCAATAATAGCTCCTACCTAAAAAAAAATTATAGATTCGATAAATTTGGATCGTTGGGAAGTTGCGCTGAACGAAATTACCATATCACTTTGTACAAGTATCCTTAAAGGAAAATCAGTTTGCCTGTTTTGTCCAGGTAGGCCCCCGAAGGGGGCACCCGGACCCCTCGGATTCCTTTTAGCCCGTTTTTCCACAGCCAATTCCACCTTCAACACTTTGCCTTCGACTTCGACGCCATTTAGCTGATTCACCGCCCTGCGATCATTTACAAAGAAATATAAATAAATGGACAGAAAATGATTATTCAAATATTGAAAAAGGAGATATAAAAAAAAAAAACGCGGTTCGACTTCCAACGCGGTAATTTCGGCTGCGAAGTTCTCTAATTAAAATCGGGGAAATTATCCGATGGCAGGAAAAACTTACTGTTGTGCTTGTTCCGTAGTTTCGTACGTGACGGCGACGGTTTGTGTACTTGGGTCTTTCGATGTCAGTTTATCACACGAAACTACGTGCCCATGTTCGTTAAGGAGATGTTCGATGTCCTCGAACCGTACATGTGGACCCAAATTTGATATTATAATTTTCGAAGTTTGACTGAAACGAAATTAAAGAGGATTTTAGCGTTACGGATGAAGATCAAACGGTGTGAAATAGGGTGGATAAATTAACATATACTGTGTTCTATTAAGAATAAAGATACTACTGCTACATTATTTTTTGCAATTTTTGCATCTTAAGGTGGGATACAGGGTGTCCCGCATAAGAACCGAAACAGAACAGGGACGTGTAGGGAAGCCTAAAATATATGTTGTTTAACCCAACTTTACCATAATTCTAGCTGAATTACTTTTGAATTATCGACGATTTTCAGTAACATTGTTAGTGTATATTAGACTTCATTTTTTAGATTTTTTCATCAAAACGACGAGGAATTTTAAAAAAACAAAAAGAATAAAAAAAGTTTTACAATGAAATTATGTATGAAATGAACTAATAATTTTTTTAAATCATCCATCAGGTAAAAAAATCTGTAATATTTTAAGGGAGCATCATCCCTTCATCCCCCCCATCTTCCCATAAAATACATCATTTGATTTCTCCTAAATATCGATTGATGCACTTAATACACTAATTTTTAGTTGTTTTAAGTTTCAGTATTACTGAAATATTTTTTTTTAATTTGTAACTCATCTTTGAGGGCCTATAAATTCTAAGAAATATAACTTTGTATTAAGTTAAACCGCAAATTTTGGGCTCCCCTACATGCCCCTGCTCTGTGCGGATCCTTATGCGGGACACCCTGTATAATAAGTAAATCAGATGGATATAATTAAGGGTAAATCATAAAATATTCATATGTATTTAGACTCATCATGGTACACCGTGTAGAAATATGAAATTTTGTGTGGAAAAAGAAACCGGTTGAATATAAAATAGATATGGTATAATCAACCCATTTCAACGAACGTATTCTGAACGAAATTTTTGTTACAATTTGTCCCACTTTTGTGTACAATGCGTGTGAAGCGAAATAGATAAGACTGATTTGTGTAAAAAGATGATATATCAAATTGTTGGTCATATAAAATAGATAACGACGATAGGATATAATATTTCGCAATAATTTTCAGATAACGTGAATACATGTAAAAAAGCTATTTATACCGCGACAAAATGATCATGGACACTTGCCATTAGAATATTGCCCAATTATTTAGGTATATCCATATAAATTAAATTTAGGCGATTTTTAATTAATCTTCACATTAGCTAAAAGGCTTCTGCAATAAAAAAATCCATCTCCATTCTACGCTCAGCAATTATCCGGATTCACCCGGTTTATTAATTTCGTTAATGCCTTAATGAATTTTCGTAATATCCTTTGATCCGCTAGTCGCTGGAGGCTTTGGTTTATGCTTTCGAAATAACTGCTACAAAACGCTTTCTCAGATCACAATTCCCTCGCACATGAAAGCTAAAATCGGTCGGTCTTGCTCTTTAGCGTATAAGGTAATTAAATTTTCTATACGGCTAATTATTCTATAAGGTGGTCACGGAACAATGTCAAACTACAAAGTGTTTACCAAACAATACGCAATCCGTAAGGGCACTGCAGGCACAAGTGAGCCTCTGATATTTTCCGACCGTTTATTGCAACAATAGTTAAACAAAAATAAAACACTTTAAAACGAGTAGCAAAGCATTTTCAAGGGTCTTATTCGCATCGGTACTTTGATAAATTGCCGAATTAGCCCCGCTTTTCAATTTGTAGTTGGTATAAAAAATACTATTAATTGTATCCAATCGGACGAGCAAGTATTTTGATTGAAGTGCACAATTCAAACTCCCATTTATGTATGCATTTGTGTATACCAAATCAGAAAGTTTCAGAGTAAGAGATCAGTGCCAAATAAAATTATTAAAAGAGAAGGAAACAATTTTAAAAAATATATCAAAAAACAGAAACCCCACGAGGATTAACTTCTAATTATCATTAGTCTTATTGGTATTCTACAATCGCATTTCCAGACATTTTTTCCCGTAATTAAAATCAAATTTCAACGCCATTACAAACTCGTAAAAACCTCGTTACTATACAACATACAACATTGTAGCCGAGCTCGCCGGAAAATATCACAAATGATAAAATATTTATTCCGTTTATTTTCGTTTTCGCCGTCTATTTCCGATGCATCGATGATGAGAATAGAACGCACATATTTTGCATCCTCAGACGTCTAGCCACTATTGCAGGACACATGCAGTTAATACTTGTCAAACGGTACGGGAGGGTCGTTTACCTTACAATAGTCGCTCGGGAGGAAATCACTTTTAAAATTTAAAAACCGATCTATATGGTTGTAGAATGCGTCATGAAACCACAAAATTTGTATATTATTTTCATGTGTAATTTGGAAATTAAACATAAAAATAAGTTTTAAATTTTAAACTTTAAAAGCATCAGCTCAAAAATGGTGGCTCAAATGAATAAAATTTATATGAAGTTATACCCTTATTTTGATATCATCTATAACACATCTATACTCTCCCGAATTATAGACATACATTATCTGGACATCCTGTATAGAGAATGTATATACAGGAAGAAATCTTATTTTAGTGGCTCTCCAGGATGAATTTTTGGTTCGAACACATTGCTGAGATGCGTAAATGAATAAAAATAGTTCAATTGCAATGATCTCTTGAACGTAGGAATCGCGTATCAAAAACTGCTTTTCAGCAAAAAATGACATAACGATTGTGCAATGCTATCACTGGTAAAATCACGTTAATTAGTTAAGTACTAAAATGCATCATGAGAACGATATACTATTTCATGCTATGCGATTCGGTAATATTTCCTATGGGTCGTTGAACTACTCTACTAGAAAACCTTTTTATCGCATTAGCAATGGGAACAGGCGGAAAAAGCCAGAACCATATTTTGTGCTAGTACATCGAGTTTTTCTATACGCGTTTTATGCAGATCTTGCCTTTTTCCAAATGTTTAAAATGACAATAATCCAAGTAGTAATAAGACATCTGCTAGATTTCTCATAATTCAACACATATACAGGGTTGGGCAAAAGTCCGGAATAAAATTATTATCTGTTAAACCAGTAATTTAAACAAAAAAACGCTGAAACACGTAAATTGATTTTATATTGGACGGATTTGTTGCCAATAAAATGATTTTTTTTTCTTCAACCCCTTAGTTGCAACCCTACCCAACTTTATTTTTTCAAATGCAAAGGTATGTCGTGTGTAGGGTCATTGAAAAGCCCGTGAAAAATGGAATCTAAAACATACCTTTGTTTTTATTTTTCTCATGTTGTTATTTGGAAATGAGCAAAAAATTCTTTTAAAAACAAATATGTTACAAATACTTTTTTAGTGGTATCGACGTGTGAATTAAGGCTTACTCTACTTAACAGGCTCCAAGGCAATGGTAAAACCTAATATCGGTAGCCTATCTTTAATTCTGAATGAACTTTTATTAAAAGCAGGCGAGCCTGGTCAGGCAGCACACCAAATTTTATTGATTTACCGTTTAAAACTGATAAGGCAATTTAGCATCAACATTCGTTGAAATTTATGTTTTAAGAAAAAACAAAAACATAAAATGGGTTTAAATCTAAGCCATTGTTGATCAGTGAACTTCAAAAAGGAAAACAGGTGTTGCATTTTTGTACAAGTTTTTTTTTTACCAAAGGTTCGCCTGTTTTTATTAAAAAGTCATTCAGAATTAAAGATATGCTATCGATATTACGTTTTACCAATGCCTGGGAGCCTGTCAAATAGATTGTGAGGGCATTTTCACATTGCTACGTCGATAACACTAAAAAGGTATTTGTAACTTTTTTGTTTTTAAAAGAAATTTTTGCTCATTTCCAATTAACAACATGAGAAAAATAAAAAAAAGGTATGTTTTAGATTCCATTTTTCACGGGCTTTTCAATGACCCTACACACGACATACCTTTGCATTTGAAAAAATAAAGTTGGGTAGGGTTGCAACTAAGGGGTTGAAGAAAAAAAAATCATTTTATTGGCAACAAATCCGTACAATATAAAATCAATTTACGTGTTTCGGCGTTTTTTGTTTAAATTACTGGTTCAAAAGATAATAATTTTATTCCGGACTTTTGCCCAACTCTGTAGATATGTACATATTAAAAGTTTACCATATTTACTGTATTTACTTCATAGGAATTGAAGTTAAAAAGGCATTAACAATGTTGACGACGATAAGATAATATTATCAACGAGATTAGAAATATTACATGGATTTTTTTTATCATGGGTGAAGAAGATACCATGCTGACATTATGAAATTAGAATACAAATATTTTCTATTTTGAGAATATTTTAACAGCAGTTTCATACAAAAGTGCATTACTTTCGTGCTATAAAAATGGTGTAGTTAAAATAACATACATTTAACTGAAAGTGCTAATTAGTGGCTCATAGTAATTTTTGACCCCATTCAATTAAAAAATAGTTAAGACGATAGTACTAATGACAGTAATAATAATATAAAGGCTGTTGTTTTATTTGACCAAAAACTCTCATATAATTAGATGTAGTATCCTTATTACAATAGTTACTAAACAATATTCGAAAAATTAACTAATTGCGATTACGACGTTATCGATGATTATTCCAATTTTATTACCGGAATAAAATATTCCTAATCAAAACAGTTATAAAGCATTGTTGTATTTTTATGTAACTCCAGCTTTATCTAAAATTAATCTCGCTGCAATTCTATTTTGTTTATTAAAGAACTGGAAATATCCTGAAATGCAGTAACATAAAATCAGAGAAAGATACTAAAATCTATAGATGGTATAGTATACAGGAAACAGTCAAAAAGAATCAAGTTATAGAGATATGTATTATTAAAAAAAATGTTATTCACAAGCCTTCGTATAATATTTCAAGAATCTCGATACATTTTGGTCTTTTGTGTTGGAACGCAGTTCAAAATATGCAAAAGGGTTACTTATTTAAAAAGGGAGAAGGATTCAAGGACAAAATGTACAGGTGGACTATAAACCCGGTATAACTGACCTGATTTCTGAACATAAGAAG